CTACTCCTACAACTACAACTACGACTACGACTACTAACTACAACTACTACTAACTACTACTACTACTACTACTACTACTACTCACTACTACTACCTACTACTACTTACCCCTACTACTACTACTACTACTACTACTACTACTACTACGACTACTACTACTACTACTACTACTGCTGCTACTACTACTACTACTGCTACTACTACTGCTACTACTACTACTACTACTACTACTACTACTACTACTATCACCTCTACCCCTGCCTCTGCCCACCCCACCCCCTGCTCCGCAGACATCCGACACAACGCCGTGCCTTATCCCTGAAGGCCAGTTTCGGGCCCAGGGACCGTCACAAAACGGCACAGGATGAACCCTGCATGAGAAAAAAACACGACGTCGGGGTTCCAGGTCATGCTCCCCCCTATTCAAACTCTTCCCAAATGGCCAAGACACAAGGCTCTCATGTCCGGCCCACGCAACGAGCACACCTCCCCTCACTCACAAGGGCCCGACGGGTCGCAAGACGTTGCCGCCACCCCTTGCATGGGGCCTCGCGCAAGCAGCTGGAGGGCCCACACGCCGAACTGAGGGTGTTCAGCTGCTTTGAGCAGCACCCCCCAGACAATCCGAGATATCCGATGTCTTGATTTTTCCATAAGGTGTCCCCACGAACCCCGACCCTTTCTTCAGGGCTGGCTTTTCATCCTGAGTCGTTCTTTGACGGTTCCCAGGGCTCGGCAAGGGCCCCCAGAGGCCGAAAACGACAAAAACCTCCGTCCTGATCGTGTCAGGACCTTGGATGTTTGAGGATGAAGCAGATTCCTCTTCTCCTCCTCCTCCTCCTCCTCATCCTCCTTCTCCTCCTCCTCCTCCTCCGACCTATCCTCCTCCACCTCCTCCTGCACCCCCCATGCTTCTCCTCGCGAGGGAGAGAGAGATTGACGGCGCGCCTGGCGGGTGTGGGGCGAGGGCTTGCCTTCGAACGAGGCGGCAGGCGGGGGAGATCCTGGAAGGGCCTGGAGCCCTCTGTTGAGGACCCTTGAGAAGACACGAGGGCTTCTGAGAAACCTCCTGCCTGGTCAGGTGAACCCCCCCAGGCCCTGCACGCCGAGGAGGACGACGACGGCAAGAACAACCACGACCACGACCACGACCACGACGCCGACTACAGCGACGACGTCGAGCAGAGGTGGGTGGGAGAGAGAATTGCGAGAGGCTCTGCGGAGAGGGCCGCCACGGTCCTGCGCGTCCATGTCCTCGAGCGTGTCCCAGATGGACTTCGTGGTCGGCGAGAGCTTCGCTCCGTAGGTCACCTCGGCACTGGGGCGGCGGGCGGGGGGGGGCGGGACGGACGCATGCGAGTAGTGACCCAGACCCCGTCTGTCACAAAAAAAGGGTTCGGCCAGTTCGACCTCGAGTGGGGCTTCCAGGAGGCCGCCTCCGACCGCGGACAGTCAGACAACAAAAAACCTAGTAAAATCGCCGTTGGCGTAAAGACTCTAGATGACAACGCTGGATGATAAGACACGTGATCGGCACGGTAACGTTTTCTGCATTCCGAAAACCAGGCACGTCACGGCACGGCAACTTGTTCGCAATCTGGAGACCAGGCACAACACGGCATGGCACGGCAACTTGTTCGAACTACGAAGACCAAGCACGCCACGCCACGCCACTCCACGGCAACAATCCACGTTCTGGATGGAGACCAAACGCGCCAAGGAACTGCATGGAAAAAACTGTTCGCAGTCTGAAAGCCAAGCACGGAACGGCACGGTGCGGTTGTTTGCCTTCCGAAAACCAGCAAGCCGGCACAGAGGGGCGTCTGCTTCGCGGTCTGAAAACTGCCAAAAAACAAGCACGGCACGACACGGCACGACACGGCACGGCACTGAACGGCACGCGTTCCCCATCCTCCACACCGCACGCGGGCACGGCTCGGCACGGCACGGCACGGCACGGCACGGGGGCGGTGTTTTGTTGGCACCCTGCAGAAGGGAAGACGGCACGGCACGCCGCGGCGCGGCGCGGCACGGCGCAGCACGGCGCGGCACGGCACGGCAACGGCACGCGGGCACGGCACGGCACGCGGGCACGTCACAGCCGGCAGATTCGCCGCATCCTCAAACCCCGAAGGTCACCTCCTGACAAAAATCCGGACGCCGTGCAGAAGTGGCTGCTCAGGCAAGCAGTCCCAGGCAAGGACCGCCCCTGGAGGTGCCCCGAGGCCTCTGGGGATCTCTGGAAGCCCCTGGCTCGCCGAAGGCCAAAGAGGCCTCCTGAGCCCCGCAAGCAATAAATGAGTTGCACCCGCGCGGCAGAAGACCCTAAACAGCATGATGAAAAGGCAAGGAGAGCATGACACTGCATTGCACATAAGGGAGACCATACGGGAGAGCACATGGAGAAATATACGAAAGAACAGACGGGAGTCCATACATACAGACGACCATACGGGAGAGCATACAGGAGATCATGCGAGAGACCATAAGGGAGACCATACGGGAGACCATATGGGGAAACCATATGGGACACGATGCGGGAGACCATCAAACTACTGGCTTCGGAGTCGGCAACGGCCCCTCTGACCCTGCAGACGAGGCATATGCAGAGCCCTTACAGAGAAGCTGCTCAGGGAAACGCTCAAACACGTGACCCTGGATCCTCATGTTGGGCTGCCCTCACTCTGGCCTACTGGCCGCAGCGTCTGTAGTCGCACAGGCCGACTTAGGCGACAGCCGAACCTAAGACAGAAGAGCATCCTTCAAGAACATGAGACCCTCCGCCGGCCAAAACACACTTAACATCCGAGGGTATCCTGCCCAGGATGCACAAGAACATCCGACAAGCTACGAAGAACATCAGGGCACCCTCCCCGAACCGACCTCGATCTTATACCTCGGTCCGACTGCAAGCAGCCCGACAAGAGAAAAGGAAACGCAAAGACACAGCAGCAGCCGACAAGAGAAGACGAGAGGCTGGGCACGGCGGCGGGCGGCCTCTCTTCCGCCGGGGGGGGGGGGGGCGGCGCAGCGCCTCGCGCCAAAGCAGCTCTTCGACAGAGAGGAGGGAGCAGGAGGAGGGAGGAGGGAGGAGGGAGCAGAGAGCAGCAGGAAGACGGGAGGAGGAGGAGGACCAGAGTGGGAGGAAGAAGAGGAGGAGGAGGAGGAGGAGGAGGACCGGAGTCAACCCAGGACGCATCAACGGTGCTGAAATGCACCCTTCCGTCCCAAGTCCCTCATCAAGTTTGCGAACATCATAATCGTCCAGAACATATTCATCATCGCGTTCATATTATTATCTCTTCTTATCTGGTGCTGCCTTGTTGTACTCCAGCCAGGTCATTATTCCACTTAGCATTCGCATGGTGTCACCTTCTTCGCTAGGATCGGGCACAGCCCCATTTAGAGCCTTGCGGTTCCAATGTTGACTCGTGCCAGGGCGTTAAACAATCGATCATCCCACTCGCGAAAGCTTGTACGGCCTCCGTGTATTATTCGCTTATGGGGCCTCTGATGCGGTTCACTTCTACCGCATCCCGTAGTTTTGTTATTATCTGGGCGAGGATCGCGTTCATGTTCATTGTTGCCCCCTATAACTTCCCAACTCGGCCACTCGCGCTTTCGCTTGCGTAGTTTCCATAGCGTGCATGTTCTCACGATTGATGATGCTCGGTAATGCTGCGCTCGATGATCTCAACAATCTCAAAAGTGGCATCGCGTGCTTGCTGGGCAAGTATTGGTTACCCGTGCGGCGTTGTTCCCCCAGGTACTTAGTCAACACGTCACGGTCAGGCTGCACGCCAGCTCTGACGAGCTCATAGTCACCTTGGTTGTTCGCAATAAAACAGTTAAGTCCTAAACTGGCCAGGGTGCATTATATCCATTCTGGTCGTATTGTAGGTATTGCCGCACCCGCTCTTGTTGCAATAACCTCGCTTCTCGATCGTGCAAACTCATTAAAACCATGATACTAAAAATTTAGCAAGCTATGTCGCACCGACTGGTGGCGAGTACTATTTGCTGAGCCAAATGTCACGGGTTCCATAATTACCTGGGGGGCTACATTGAAACACCTCCTTGGCCTCCTCCTCCTCCTCCTCCTCCTCCTCCTCCTCCTCCTCCTCCTCCCCCTTCCCCCTCCTCCTCTTCCTCCTCCTCCTCATCCTCCTCCTCCTTCCACTCCTCCTCCTCCCTTTCGCCCAGCGAGTAGGCGACAAAGGGGTAAAACAAAGTTTTTAGCGCCCCAGCCTGCGCCAGGTGACTTTTTCCGTACTCAAGGCAAACGGTCTCGAAGAGCTTGAAACTTGAATTGAACTCCTCCTCCTCTTCCACGTACTACACCTCGTCCTCCTCCTCCCCCTCCACAGTGACTCAGTATGAATACTACTCTCCTCCCTCCCCCGAAGATGGACGGAAAACCCACCCACCCCGTGTTGAGCACATACAAGCCTACATGTTTTTGTATGTCCAACCGTTTTTCCTTATCGGAGCGTTTCCAGTGTCTCAAAATGGTGCTCCCGCTGCAGCGTTGGCCCTCCTCCTCCTCCTCCTCCTCCTCCTCCTCCTCCTCCCATCTCCTTCTCCTCCTCCTCCTCCTCCTCCTGCTCCTCCTGCTCCTCCTCCTTCTCATCTCCCCTCGTCTTCCTCCCCCACCACTTTCCAAAGGTTTGTGAAAGTCTCCGAACTCCCTGGAGATCCAAAGCCTCTGGAGGCCTCCGGAGGAAAAACAACACCTGCAGGAGCTTCAAACATAAAAACAAATCCTCGAGCCTCCTCTTCCCCAATCCTCGACTCATCATCATCATCATCATCATCATCATCATCAGCAGCAGCAGCAGCAGCAGCAGCACAAGCATCATCATTATCATCGTCATAATCAGCAGCAGCAGCAGCAGCAGTCATCAGCATCACCACCACCACCATCATCCTCAGCATCAGCAGCATCATCAGCATCATCATCATAAAAGATTATCACCATACCCATCATCATCGTCGTCGCCGTCGTCATAAGCACTGTTATATCATCATCTTCACCATCACCATCACCATCACAACCATCACCATCACCAGCATCATCTCCAGCACCATCAACGTAGTTGTCGTCTTTGTAATCGTTTTCGCCTTCATCGTCGTGGTTGTCGTCATCACCATCATGGTAATCATCGTGATCATCATCGTCATCATCATCGTCATCGTCATCGTCATCGTCGTCATCGTCATCATCGTCATCATGGTCGTTAACATCATCATCAGCATCGTCATCCTCATCCTCATCATCATCGTCATCATCCTCATCCTCATTATCATCATCATCTTTATCATCATCGTCATCAGCACTGTCATCTCATCATCTTCACCATCACAACCATCACCATCACCATCACCAGCATCATCTCCAGCACCACCAACGTCATTGTCGTCTTTGTAATGTGGTTGTCGTCATCACCATCATGGTCATCATCGGTATCGTCATCCTTATCCCCATCATCATCGTCATCATCCTCATCCTCATTATCATTATCATAGTTACCATCATCGTCATCATCAGCATCATCATGAACATCATCTTTCTTTCCTTATCCTCATCCACCTCATCATCACCACCGAGCCTAGAGCGTCGAGCCTCGATCCTGGATCCTCCATCTATCTGCGCCTCCTCCTCCTCCTCCTGATCCTCCTCCTCCTCCTCGAGCCTCGATCCTCAAGCCCCGACCCCCTTCCTCCTCTCGAGGAGAGAAAACTGCATAAACACAGACCTTCTTTGGTCCGCGCGGATTTCTTGGATCTGCGCTGGACCACCCTCCACGGCTCGAGCGCACCAAGGGTGGGGCCAGAGGCGCCTGCAAGCAGGCCCAGCGCAGATCCAAGAAATTCGCGCGGACCGTCCAACCTGTATCTTTAGGCCATTACTGTTTCTTATTATTGGCATTGTGATTATTACTATGCTTCATATTCCTACTCATATTAGTATTATTACTAATGCGATGATTATTGTTCACGTTTTTACTTCCATTAATACTCCTATAAATATTACTGGCATCATTATGATTAGTATTATTACTATTATTCGGTCCTCGTCTTGTCTTGTCCTCTCCCTCCTCGTCTTGTCCTGCGGCGGGCGGCGGGGACCGCCGGGTCCAGGGTCCAGTCCTTGATCGTCTTCATCTTGACGCCTCGCCCGGGAGGCCGCGACGGCGAAAAGCGGCTAAGACGAGGGCGAACACGCCGAGGAGGATTTCGTCACACTCTCGCGCGGAGTAGGCGGAAGAGGAGGAGGGAAGATGAGGACGCTGGAAAACGGGGGCAGGAGGGGAGAGAGGAGGAAGAGGAGGAGGAGGCGAGCACGCCAAGGGACGATATTCTCACATGATGCAGGCGCATTCTCACATGATGCAGGCGGAGCATGGCGTCTCAACGCTGGGGTTCATCATCTGCCTACTCTGCATTAATCAGAACTCTCATCACCATCACCACGGCCATCATCACCACCGACAACAACACCACTCTCCTCCTCCTCCTCCTCCTCCTCCTCCTCCTCCTCCTCCTCCTCCTCATCATCATCATCATCATCATCATCATCATCATCATCATCATCATCATCATAATAATAATAACCATCGTCGTTATCAGCAGCAGCAACATCATCATCGGAATCATTCCCCTTGTAATCATAATCCCCAGCATCAGCATCAGCAGCAGCATCAATGTAATCATCATCGTCATCAGCATCATCATCATCATCAGAATCATCACCGTCACTGTCGTCATACTCATCATCGTCATCATCATCAGCGGCGGCAGCAGCATCATTAGCATCATCATCAGCAGTATCAGCATCATCATAACATTAGCAGTATCAGTATCATCGTTCTCATCATCATCAGCAGCAACACGTATCAGCATCGTCATCATAATCAGCAACACCATTAATATCAGTATCATCACTAACGACATCAGCAGCATCGTCGTCGACATCATCGCCATCGTCATCCTCATCATCAGCATAGTCATCAGCATCGTCAGTATGGTCATCGGTATCGTCATCACCATTAGCAGCAGCAGCATCCGCAGCATCGTAATCGTCATCAGCATCACCGTCTTCATGACCAGCATCATCATCAACAACAACCATAACAATAACATCATTGACAGTATGAGCATCATCGCCCACCATCCTGAACATTAAAGAAGCCCTGTGATCTCAGATCCTAGTCCCCCATCTTTCTTCCAATCCTCGACGCTTCTCCTAATCATTATCCTTCTCCTCCCCTCCCCCCCTCCACATCTGATTCACCTCATCCTGCCTTCTCCCTTCTCACTTCCCTCCTTCCTCCCACTCCTCCTCCTCCTCCTCCTCCTCCTCCTCTTCCTCCTCCTCGTCCTCCTCCTCCTCCTTCCCTCCTCCTCCTCCTCCTCCTCCTCCTCCTCCTCCTTCCCTCCCACTCCTCCTCCTCCTCCTTCTCCTATACCGATCATCGGCATAATCATCACTAGCGTCGTCGTCATTGCGACCACCACCACAACCATAAGCAGCAGAATCATCATCGTCATCATCATCATCGTCATCATCATCATCATCATCAGCATCATCATCATCACATGCATCACCAGTACCGTCTTCATTCTCGTCATTATCCGTCGCCTCCTTATCCTCCTCGGGACTCCAGTTGACGACAAATGACGGACAACGGACAACGGACAACGGACGACGACGACGACGACGACGACGACGACGACGACGACGACAACGACGACGACGGGTTTCGCGGGGCGCCTGCGGCCAGCAGATTCTTGCCCCAGACGTCCTTCTCCGCCTCTTAGGGCGGCGCGTTGGCGGCGGGGGTCTAGAGCGAGGCGCTCTCTCTCTCTCTCTCTCTCTCTCTCTCTCTCTCTCTCCTGGGGACCTCTCCATCAGCGAGAGCCGCGTCCGCGGGAGGAAGCATGAGGAAAGGGGGAGGGGAAGGGAGGGGAAGAGAGGGAAGAAGAGGTGGGTTGGGTTGCTCGCTTTCGCAGCACCTTGATCACCAGGATCCTGGCCGCTCCGCCCTGGTCGTGGACGATAGGCTCACGGGCCAGCTGATAGGCCGCAACTCGCTGCCTTGACAGTCCTTGTCTGCAGCTGCCTCTGGCGGGTGGCCGCCTCGCTGACGGCCCCCAGCTTGTGTGCCCCCATGGCCTGCCCAAGAAGAAAAAAAAGGAAGAATTGGAAAAAAGGAAGGAGAAGGAGAGAGAGAGGGAGAAAGAAAGCAGGAGTAGACGCCGTGCTTGTTGCTGAATCTTGGCCGTGCTCGGAAAGGGGCGCAGGAGCGAGGGAGCGGAAGAGGAAGAACAAGATGAGGGGGACAAGACGCCACAAAGCGCAGAGACGACAACGCGAGGGACAGAACAACGAAAGGAAAGGCGACACAACGAGAGGGACAAGACGCAACGAGGTAGACGACCAAGAGAAGAGCGGGCCCGAGGCCTCAGAGGCCGTCCGCACGACGTACTCGTGTTGCGTCACTTCTCCCTTCCACCATATCGATAAAACCCTGCAGGAAGGACACCTGGATGGTGTAAGTTGTAACCTTCCCCTGGGCGCAAGGTGCACATATCGAGAGGATCTTGAAACTATCCCTCGGGACTGGGGCGTTGATATTATTCCTCCTGTGGGTGCGTCGCCGCTCAGCAGCTAGCGAAGCTTGGCCAGGAATGCGCCAAAGCAGTCATAGGTAATCATAAGGATTACATTGACCGAACTGCCCATGGTCTATGGAAGTTCGGAGCCAAGCCGAAATGGCCAGCAAGAAGCAAAAAATGTTTTAGTTGCTTCATTCCGTCTCGTAACCAGCGCTACCGCCATACGTACCCGTAACTCCGTAACTCCTCCTCCTCGTCCTCCTCCTTTCTCCTTTCCCTCCTCCTCCTCCTCCTCCTCCTCTGCGAAGCCTCCAGAAGCCTCCGGAAGTCTCTCCAGGGGACTCCAGAGGCCTGGGAAGAGCCAAAAACGTCCACGACCTCGATGCTCTTCTTTCACCTGCTCCTCCTCCTCCTCCTCCTCCTCCTCCTCCTCCTCCTCCTCGAAGTAATCATCAGCATCATCCATCAGCAGCACCACCATCATCAGATTCGAACATATTCATATGCGTATTCATATTCATATGCAGCTTCACACTCATAGTTGTATTTGTACACATGATCAGAATCATATTCATGTTCATAGTCGCAACCATTTTCATTGTCATAACCAGATGCACACGCACATTCATATTCATGTTCATTTCCACCTTCGCCTTTATACTCATCGTCTGAATGGTCTTCGTCATCTTCATCACCTTCGCCTTTTTCATATTCGTGTTCGTCTTCATCCTCATCAGCAGCAGCATCGCCCCCCTCCGCATCCACTCCTCCTGCCACTAGGCCTTGTATCCCAGCCAGTTCATCCGCTCGGCGAGGCCCTCGAACGGCGACGCACTGGGCGGCGGGATGGGCGGGCCGGGGGGGGGGGGCGGCCCTCCGCCGCGCGAGAGCGGGCGGCAGGAGGAGGACGGCGCCAGCGAGACGAGGGGCACCACGGAAGGAGGGGCGTGGACATCCACGGCCACAGGCCATCTTCAGGGGGGCAAACTGAAACCTCGGGCGTGGATTCGCCAGGCTCAGCGCAAACCCAGCTCAGCCAATCTAGAGAAGAGGTGCTGCAGTTGTTCGGGGGAGCTTCCCAAGCAGGGCTCAGCCAATGTGTAAGGCCCCCTCCAAGGCCGCGAGCGGCTCCCAAACCCGGCTCAGCCAAACTCCAGCTTTGCCAGATCCCCCGGGATCCGGCTTTCGGGCTGAGCCCCGTCCATTTGCGCTGAACCCCGTTGCGTGCGCACCGAAGCCACAGTCTCTTCAATCGGACTCCACTGCAGAGCCCTGCGAGGCTCCTTGCCTGACTTCGACGGCAGCGGCAGCGGCAGCGGCAGCGGGCCCTCCTGACGCACAGCGGGCGCAGCGGGCGCAGCGGGCGCAGCGGGCGCAGGGGGCGCAGGGGGCGCAGTGGACACAGCGGGCGCAGCGGGCGCAGCGTACAGCGGCAGCGGCCAGCCCTCCTGGCGTGCAGCGGCAGCGGCGGAGCGGCAGCGGCGGAGCGGCAGCGGCGGAGCGGCAGCCAGCGGGCCCTCCGAGCGGCAGCGGCAGGCTTCGGCGGGCCCTCCTGGCGTGCACGCAGTTCTCGCCCGTGTTCGGCGCGGCTGGCAGCCCCAGGTCCTTGACCGAACGGCGGGCGCGCCGCCCGAGGTCGTCGCCTTGCTATCGTGTTGGTCCTGTTGATGATCATCATCTCCACCACCATCACCATCAAAGCCATCATCGTCGTGACCGTCGGCGGCGTGTCTCCGCCTCGCCGTCCGCCTCGCCGTCCGCCTCCTCCTCCTCCTCCTCCTCCTCCTCCTCCTCCTCCTCCTCCTCCTCCTCCTCCTCCTCCTCCTCGTGATCCTCATCCTCGTCATCATCCCCTCCATCCTCGTCAACATCGCCGTCGCCATTATCATGAACATCCTCGAGCAGAATCATCAATCTCCCCATCACCGTCACACTCATCCACAGCAACATCACTCCCATCAGCATCATCATCATCATCATCATCATCATCATCATCACCACCACCACCACCATCATCATCGTCATCATCATCATCATCATCATCATCATCATCATCATCATCATAATCATCATCATCATCATCATCATCATCATCATCATCATCATCATCATCATCATCATCATCATCATCATCATCATCATCATCATCATCATCATCACGATCAGCATCATCATCATCAGCAGCAGCAGCTGTATCAGCATCAGCATCAGCATCGGCATCATCAGCAGCATCAGCATCATCATCATCAGCAGCATCATCATCATCATCATCATCATCATCATCATCATCATCATCATCATCATCATCATCATCATCATCATCATCATCATCATCATCATCATCATCATCATCATCATCATCATCCATCAGCATCAGCATCATCATCATCATCAGCATCAGCATCAGCATCAGCATCAGCATCAGCATCATCATCAGCATCATCATCATCATCATCATCATCATCATCCTCATCATCTTCATCATCATCATCATCATCATCATCATCACCATCAGTATCATCATCATCATCATCAGCATCATCATCCGCATCCCCATCCTCATCATCTTCATTGTCATCATCAGCAGCATCATCATCAGCATAATCATCATCATTACCATCACCAGCACCATCAGCATCATCATCATGATATTCAATATCGCCAGCATCGTCATCATCATCAGCATCATCATCGTCATCGCCATTATGATCATTATGAGCGTTATCATCGGCATCGTCAGCATCATCATCATCATCATCGTCGTCGTCATCATCACTCCCATCAGCATCATCATCTTCATCAATATCACCACCATCACCACCATCATCATCGCCAGTGTCATCGTAATCGTAAGCATGATCAGCATCATCATCCTCATCAGCAACAGCAGCATCAGCGCACCATCATCATCATCATCATCATCATCATCATTATCATCATCATCAACATCACCATCAGTATCATCACCATCATCATCATCATCACGATCAGCATCATCCCCATCATCATTATCATCATCATCGTCACCACCACCACCATCAGCGTCATCGTTGTCGTCATCATCATCGCCATCATCAGCATAAGCATCATCGCCACCACCACCACAATCATCATCGTCGTCATTATCATATCAGCATCATTATCATCATCGTCATCATCATGAGCGTTCTCATCCTCATCACGATCAGCATCATCATCATCATCATCATCATCATCATCATCATCATCATCATCATAATCATCATCATCATCATCATCATCCCCTATTAGCAACATCATCATTGCGGCCGCCGTCGTCATCCTCATCGTCACAACAATCAGCAGCGGGCAACATAATTCAGCATGCCCTCCGTACCGTCGTCTTACACGCCGTCCTCACTGTCTTCCTGTGAGTAGAGGTTGCCTTTATATCCTCCTCCTCTCATTATTACTCTTCTTATGCGTTTTCTTCTTCAGTCTGAAATATGGTTCTTCTCTGCGATATGTTTACTGCTCTTATGTGTAATATGTTTCTTCTCCCTCCTCCTCCTGATCCTCCCGCTCCTCATCCTCCTCCTCACTCCTCCTCTCTCCTCCTCTCTCCTCCTCTCTCCTCTCTCCTCTCTCCTCCTCCTCATCCTCCTCCTCATCCTCCTCTTCCTCCCCCATCTCCTCCTCATCATCATCATCATCATCAGCAGCAGCATAGCATCGTCAGCATCATCAGCAGCATCATCATCACCATCATCATCAACATCATCATCATCTTCACCATCATCATCGTCATCATGATCAGCAGCATCATCATCAGCAGCATCATCATTAGTATCATCATCATCGTCATCATCATCATCATCATCAACAACAACAACAACAACAACAACATCAACATCAGCATCATCATCATCAGAATCATCATCATCGCCATCAACAACATCATCGTCGCGACCCCCTCGGGTCAAGAGAAAATCACGGCGCGAGGTTTCTGGCCAATCTGGGCCTCGGGGGGGGGCCGTCAAGACACGGCGGTCTGCGAGAGCGGGGGCCGAGCGCTGCAGGGGGCACGCCTCGAGCAAACCACGACGTCGGAGGCCAGAGCCAATGCCTCAAAATCCTGCTGACGATCGACCCTCAACCTGTTCGGGGGTGCGCTCTGGCCAGAAGTTCGGGGCGGATCCGGCCATGGCGACGAGGAGGCCCCAGGAGGCTCCATGAGGTCCAGGAACGTCCCAAAGCCTCGCTCGTGCTCCCTGCTGGCTGTCTCTCCTGTCCCTCTCCGCCCTGGACCCCCGCCTGCGCGTTCGCCGTCGTCTGCTTGCTTCTAGCTCTCTTTCTCCAACTCCGCCGCCGCGCAGCGCAGACTGCAGGAGACCTCGACCCTCGGCCGAGGGCTGCGCTCATCGCAGGGCCTCCTCTCCGAGCAGCAGGGTCGCGCGGCAACGCGGCACGCGGACCGACCTCGCGGACGGGCGCGCAGGGGCGAGCGACCGCCCTCGGGCGCCCACGCCGATGGGCCACGCCAGGCGAGGACAACGACGACGACCACCACCACGACCACGACGACGACGAGGACGACGGCCACGACCACGACCACTACCCAAGCCACGACCACGACGACGACGCCGCCGCCGTTTCCACCGCGGGGCAACAAGAGGGCCGCCGAAAGACCGCCGAAAAGCCGCCGAAGGGGCCGCCACCGGAAGCACCCGAGCGCAGATCTGCGCCGGCCCCGGGGGACCGCTGCAGGGGCAGCGGTGGCGGTGCCGACCGCCGTCGTCGCTGTGGTGGTGTTCGTGGTCGTGGTCGTGGTCGTGGTCGTCGTCGTGGCCGTTGTCGTGGTCGTGGTCACAGGCGCTGGCGCAGCCGGCTTCGGGCAGGGTCCTCCCAGGCCGCCAGCGCCCCGCCGCGCAGCGAGTCCTTCGGCGCCTCGGCGGGGTCAGTCGGGCCGAGCACCTCTGGGGAACGGGCCGCGCACAGGGCTTCGAGAGAGAGGGGAAGGAAAGAACGAGAAGGAGGCACGAGCCTCCAAGAGGCCCCCAGGGAGCTCCCAGGAGGCCCCACTCTTGCGGCCCCGAGAGGCTCCCAAGAGGCCTCCTCCTCCTCGTCCTTCTCCTTCTCCCTCTCCTGATTCTGCCATTCGTCCTACCCCAAATGTTCCCCGAAGAGTTTCCAGGGCGGCTGGGAGGAAAGCATAGCTCGACAGCTTGGCCAAGCTCACACCAAGCGCTTGGCCACAGATGCGCTTCCCAAAAAGGCAGGGGGCGCCGCAGGCGTCTTCGATATGGGATCTCCGAGCTGAGCAATCTTCGTATTACAACCTATATTAGTCACATATTACTGAGACCATTTTCATTATTATAGTTAGTAGTACAAGTATCCGTTTTAATCCAATGATGAACATTATTAGTATAAATACTATAAGTATGATTATTAGTATTACTACTATCCTATTAGTAGTATTATGATTGGTATTATTATTACTATTCAAGCTGTGTCGTGCTCCGCCGTGCGGAGAATGCCGCGCCGCGCCCCGCCGTGCAGCCATGCAGCCTGGCCTGGTGCCTTGGAGGCAGCGGGGGGGGGGCGAGCAGCACGAGCTGGGCTTCGGTACGATCGACATGGGCGACGAAAAGAAACGGGCCTTAAGCGAGATGGCATACGGCAGGCTCGTGTCGTGCCGACTTCGACGTTGGTTCCTGACAACGCGGGGATCGTTCAACCTGGAACGATCGGCCGTTCCCACAACGTCGGCTCGTTCAACATCGACCGATGCAGGGTCGCTGGCGGCGCTCAACGTTAAACGCCCGCGGCAGGGTCGCCGCCAGTCGATACGACGCGAACCTACGGTAGCGACCGTACGACGTGGCCTACGCGGACCGCCAGCGCATCAGGCTACAATGGACGCGCGAGCGCCCGCGCGATGGACCCCGTTTTCTGCGTCGCTCAAACGGGCACGGAAAGACAAGTTACGAAGACCAACAGCAGTTCCTGCCCATTTTGAGCAAGACTCGCTGTCGCTGTCGTCGCGGGCGTTGTCCATTTGAGACGGAAAAAAGGCTGCCCATCACTGTTGGGCACAGTCCCCTAATAGCGTTTCGCTCGAGGGATCTAATACAAGTAAAAAAACACAGAAGAGCCTCACAGGGGGGGCGGGGAGCCCTAGGCCGCCCAGTCTGGAGGCAGTCTGGAAGCCGCTTCACCTGAGAATTCGTTTACCATTTATCATGGAATCGTGCTCTCGCCTCAATGCTGGCTACGTGTTTGGCCTGGACCGCCACGATCCCTGGTGGAAAATAGACGAAGGTGCACATGACCGTGCGTTACCTAGGAATGTACGTTTTCACCAGCCGACGTCCTACCCCGCGACCTGCCACCCCCGCTGCTGCTGTTGAACCGGACTCCATGACGGTGTCGCCGCGGGTATTTTGTCCGATCGAGACAAAGCAAAGGCGGCTGCCCACCAGCGGCCACCGTCGGTGTTGGACCATCTTCCCTGTTGGGCACGGTACCCGTGCCTGCCCGTGCCAATGCAGGGCGTCATGACGGGAGAGAGCACGAGAGCGGGGCAGCACGCGCGGCCCGCGGCCGGCCGCCGGGCCCCGCCTTCCCGCGGAAGTCGGCCCAGGAGAGGTCCTTCGGGTCCCACTCCACGACGTAGTAGTAAATGGAGGCGCCCTCCTGGGAGGAGGGAGAGGAGGAGATAGTGAGGATTAGAGTCTAACTGAGTAGAGGGCAATCGTGAGGAGAAGGAGGAGGAGGAATTGCTCAGGACGGTAGATGAGAGGAGGGAAGCAGCGAGGAGAATGGGAAAAGAGGAGGGGGGGGGGGACAGGGAAGCGTGGGGAGGCAGAGGAGGGGGAGCTCCTGCTGCTCCTCCCCGAGAGGTCTCAAAAGGGGAGAGGGGGGAGGGGAGAAGGACAAGCTAGGTGCGCTAGCGTCACACCTGACGTCCTGCCCCTCCCTCCTGTCCATGACCATGGCGCAGGTCTCCTATCTCTTCGCAGTCGGGAATGGACCGACGCTGCAGCGGGAGCACGATGTACAAGGGCTGGAGCGCGGGAGCGAGGCCAGGACAGAACACGGGAACGAGGCCACCGCTACAGCGGGAGCACGACTTGAATGGACCGCGGCACTGGAACGAGGCCAGCGCTACAGCGACAGCGCTGCTCGGAAGGACCGAACACGCAAGCGATGCTGCTGCGGGAACACGATTTGAAACCACCGGAGGCACGGGAACGAGGCCAGCGCTGCAGCGGAGCACGATTTTGAATGACCGAAGCGCGGAAATGAGGGCGGCGCTGCAACGGGAGCACCATTTTGGAAGAACCGGAAACGAGTGGATTCAAAAAACAAAAAATGAAATCTGTGTGAAAAACAGTACGCGGAGAGGACGGGGCACTCTCCGGACAGAGTCAGAGGAGAGTAGTGTTCATATTGTGCAATTGCGGAGGAGGCCGAGGAGGAGGAGGAGGAAAAGGGCGACGGCGACGACGACGACGACGACGACGACGACGACGACGACGGCGACGACGGCTCCTTCACGAAGCCGGCGCGCATCGTCATGAAGAAGCCGTTGAAGACGTAGTAGGGCCTCGGCCGTCTGGGAGCGCCCGCCCAGAGAGAGCCTTCCCCCCAGGAAGCGAGCCTCGTCGCCGTCGTGGAGGACGGCGGCGACCTTCCAAGACCTCCAGCGGCCAGAACTTTCTGGGATCTTCCAAGACAACGACGGCGACCGTTCCTCCTCGTCGACGACGACAAGGGCGACGGCGACCTTCCACAACCTTGCAAGGAGTCAGGGCGGAGGCTTCTCAGCGGTTCTCGTCGTCTCGGGGCCAGGTTCGTGGCCCCAGGACCGACGCCCCCCAAAAAAGCGTCCTGGGCGAAAAAGGTGGCCAGGGGGAAACGAAGCCACCTGCATTGGCTCCGTGAGCGGACCAGCCTAGAATAATCAGCGAGGACGCTACGATGCCTCTTGTGACTTTTTGAACCAGCTGTGATGCCCACTCGTGTGCCCACCCCGCCCCGTCCCCAAGGACTTCGCATGCCCCTTTGATAGTGCGAGCGGCCACAACTAGCGGGGAGCGGGCTCAAGGGGGGGGGGGACATCGAGCTGGAATCGGCGATGCATCGCCGACAGATCGTCCACAGGTCGGCCTCCAGTGGCACACGCACACGCTGATGGGCGGGTTGGGCTGTCGGGCCCCTGTCGGCGATGAACGGGCGACTGGGGGTCGATGGGCTCCCCCTGAGCCGATACTCCCTCGCGTTCTCCCTCATGGTTGGATCGGGGGGAGGAGGAGGAGGAGGAGGAGGAGGAGGAGGAGGAGGAGGAGGAGGAGAGGAGGAGGAGGAGGAGGAGGAGGAGGAGGAGGAGGAGGGGAGGAGGAGGGAGGAGGAGGAGGAGGAGGAGGAGGAGGAGGAGGAGGAGGGGAGGAGGAAGGAGGAGGAGAAGGAGGAGGAGGAGGAGGGAGGAGGAGGAGGAGGAGGAGGAGGAGGAGGAGCTGCCTCTGCGTTGGAAAGACCAAGACGCCCGAGGCCTGGGCCCCTGGCACGGGCTGCGGCCGGACAGCCTGGGACCTCCCTGGGCGCCCCGAGAAGGATCGGGGCGGCCGGTGTCTCCGGGCCCAAGGGTTGGTCTTCCATCCTCCTCCTCCTCCTCCTCCTCCTCCTCCTCCTCCTCCTCCTGTGGCAGACGGAGTCAAGCAAACGTTTTTGCCTTGAGCCAATGGGCACGGTTCACAAACTCTGCTGACAACATGTGCTGAACCTATCATCGGAAAATCTGGAGTTCTGCAACACTGGTCAGAATTTCTCCTAGATTCAGCTCCCCTTCTTGGTGAAGCCGTACCCTGAAACGTACAGTAAGGCGAGGCCCTGCCCCCGGGGCCACGCCACCGCATCCTTCCCTGGACGCTTGGCAAGGTTAAACTAAGACAGAAGACGGAAGGCAAGATTACTGGAAAAAGTGACCGAGACCGGCCGGCCGGAGGAGGGAGAAAGGAGTGGGAAGACTGGAGGTACCACCACCACTACCACCGACCGCCAAGCCAGGAGACTGGAACTCGACCCAGGACATCTGGACGGACTCGAACTCTCTCCGGGACGCCTGCTGAGAGCGCCCCTTCAGCTCGGGAGCGGCCTTGCGACGCTCCAGCTCGGCCCCCTCGTCTACTAGGATCAACCTGCCATGGGACATGAGATCGAAGAGGGCGGCGTCGCACTTGGTGATATCGTCCTTGGTTAGAGGATCCACCGGCATGCGCCCATGAGGCACCCATCGCACGCTTCCGCTCGCTCGTTCTAGTGCCTCGCAGATGATAGCGAGGTCCAGCGCAGTGCGTCGGTCCTTCGCACTAGCGTCGCCCTCTTTCTGCATCGTGTCGTAGAACGATTTAGCATCAACGACGTGCACCTGCTGTTCGCGTGAGCTCAGACTGCAATCACGGCGCAGGACCGTGGTGAAGGGTCCTGCTGCTCGACGGCACTCAGGAACATCAACGTCGTGAAACATGACGTCCCGATATAGGACTTGCAGGAACTCTACCTCCGCGACTGCTGCTGAGAGAGCCTGGGTTTCCCCAGCTAGCGCGGAAGGTACCTTCCGACGTAACTTGCAGCTTCTCCAACCCAACACAGACGCCCGGACTGAGCAGTTCTGGAGGACTGACCGGTCGGTCGCGAGCACCATCCAGGCCCCCTGCGCGGGGTCCGCTGGTAGACCTCGCTCGTCATCCAGGTGGGTGTCGGCCCCTACGCCGCCCGCGTCGGAAAACGAAACGAAAGCGAACTTCTCGGGATCCAGCTTCCATACTGCGAGGCCCCTAGAGGCCGATGACCGGAGATGTTTCACGCACATTACGTCATGGATGGTGGCGTTCTTGAGTCTACTGGCCAGGATGGACGCGATTCCTGCAGCTTCGGGTCGTGACTCTCGCCCCACCCAGTTAAATTTGTACACTAGTGAGCGCAGTGCCTTGAACTCGTCGGACCCCGATGGAGCACTCTTGTCGGACATTCGGCCCTTCGCCATGGAAAGAGGACGGACTTCCTCCAAGATATATTTTTCCTGGTCCACCACTATCTTAGAGTCAGAGAACGTAACCCGCCTACCCGCGAAGTCAGACGATCCTGCATGACAGTCGCGGTACTTCCCAAATTTGAATCGAGATTCTAAGAGCCGTCTCAACCACGATCGAGCCTCCTCGTTAGCACTTCCAATCATAAAATCATCCACCTCAAGAAGCATCATGTTGAGGATGGTGCCGTGAGCACCGCATCGTATCCACCAGCACGGTTCAAGGAGGCTGCGCACGAAGCCGTTCTTCTCAAGAAATCCTACCACGGTCTTGCGCCAGGCGACTGGCGCATCGTCCAAACCGTACACGTTGACTAACAGCTCAATAAGAGAACCTGGTTCCAGGTCGACGCCTTCGCACGGCTCCACGAATATCTGGCCTCCCGATCTCCTCATGGGGTCGCTCTGGCAGAACGCGTTCTTGACATCAGCGATGTCACCTAGAAGATTCAGGTTAGCAGCCACCTGAAGGAACATCATTATCGACGTTGTTTGGGGAAAGGTGCATATACCGCAAGAGATCCAGAGTCGGGGTCCTTATGTCCGTGGACGCACCATCTTGACTTCGCTTCCGGCTCCGCAAACGCGCCCTCCACCGGCTTCCACCGTCTGACCATGCGACTCGACACGATGCGGCCCGGAAGCTGTTCCCGGATCACCCTGGCCCTGGCTGGAGAAATCACTCCGACGGCCCCTGTCGCCATCATCGCCTTCCACTCCTTAGAGTCGGACGCATCGAACTTGGCTCGCTCGGGGGGGGTCCAGTTCTTCAGAGAAACCTCGCTCCCCCTGCCAGTGGCGAAAGTGCCGCCGTCTTCGTCGCAAGCTCCCGTCCAGCTCTGCTGCACCGAGTCCAAGCGAACCCCTCAGTCCCCGATGGGGGGGCCACCCAGGACTCCCCAAGCTCGCCCCGATCTGAAGACCGGGAGCGCCCTCTCTCGATCCGGCTGACTCGTTCGGCCACCGAGCGAGACCGCTCGTGGCCGGGAACGACTCCCCTACCCCGGGCGCCCTGGGAACCACCACCACCACTGGAGGTAGGAGGAGGAGGAACCAGAGGAGGAGGAGGAGGGCGCTTCGGCTCCAGGGGTCGCCGCCTCTGCGGCCGGCCCGGCCTCGGGCTCGCCTGCTGGGGCGGTCCGCGGTCTCTTCACCTCGGGCGGACTGCGGGCGGCCCTTGCCCGGATGCAGCGGGGAACGTCCGCCGGCTGCTCCAGCCTTCGGCGGGGCCTCGGAGGATCCAGCCCTGGCGGAGGTGACGGAGGTGTTGAGGACTCACCTGAGACCCCCCTGCTGAGGGACGCGGGGGAGTGAGGGGAGAGGGACGGAGGGGCGACGGTTCCTCGATCCTCTTCCTCGCCCGCGGCAGAGGGAGCCGCGGGGGGGGTCTGTCGACCTTCGGGCTCCGTCGGAGCCTCACTCTCAGGGATGGAGGGCAGCCGAGAGGGAGGTTGAGCCGCGGTCGATCCAGCTCGAGACGCCGCCGAGCGGATGGGCCTGCCCAGAGGCCCCACGACCGAGGGAGCATGGGGCCGTGGCTCCGGCTCCTCCCGGGGAACGTCCCCGGCTCCAGGAGCCCTGGGGCCGGGGTCCGGGTCGACGCCCGCGGGCTAGTCCCAGGAGTCGTCCGGGGGGGGGCCCCTCTCGCTGAACATCCACGGCGGAGACCCTGCGGGTCCTCGCGGCAAGGAGCAGCTCCTGCCACTTGGGATCGTGAGCGAGCTGCAGCCCGTATTCCTCCTCGGGACTGGCGAGGCGCAACTGCTCCTGGCTGCACTTCCACAACGTCGCACGCACCGCCACCCAGACGGCGCCTCCCTCACTCAAAACCACAACACCTGGCCCGGTCCAGCCGCCCCGACGACGCCCCAGAGCGTCGGCCCGAGACGACGTCCTGGAGAAATGTCTCCACACGAAGACCCACTGCCCAGGGGGGTACCTGATCGCGGCCTGATCGCGGTGGGTGCCTTGGCCCTAGAGGCGCGGCTGATCTTCTCTCTGGCCGTGACTTCAAGAGCCAGCAGACGGGCGGCAGCCCGGACCTCTTGCGCCCGGGCGAACTCCGCTCCGGCTTCATCCTGCTCAGCCCCGGAGCGGGTCATGTCCTGCCAGCCGGGTAGACCACGGCGGTCGTCCGACAGCAGGTCGCGGGGGAGGCGCGGGTTTTCCCCGAAGACCAGTTGGAGGGGAGAGAAACCCCCTCTATGCCAGAAGCGATTCTTATGCGCCACCAGCTCCGCGATGAGGTCATCGAGCTCCTCCACACTCCCCGGCAGGAAAGATCCCGACTCGAGCTCAGCACGGATCCGATCCTTGACCCAACCTCCATGCCTCTCGACCCGCCCGTTTTGCCGCGGCGAGTCGGCGTCGCACACGTGGTGGCATATTCCCCACTGCTCAGTGCCTCGGGCGAATCTAGCTCCAAACTCGGAGCCGCCATCGGAAATTAAGAATTGCGGGGCTCCGAGAGGCCGGATCCAGGCGCGGAGGAACGCTGACCACACTGCCGCGGCGGTGGCGCTCTCGACTCGGACCACGACTTGGAGATTGGAACCGTGGTCGACTATGTTCAAATATGGCCTGGTGACTCCCTGGAAATCCATATACACGAGGTCCACCACGACGATATGGTTGAAACGGAAGGTGCGAGTGAGGGCGACACGGCGGCGCACCCCGGATCTCGCCCGCTCGGCGCACTCCGAGAAGACGAACTTCTCCTTAACCCAACTAACGAGCCGCCTCTTGGCGCCCCCCGCTCGGAGCACTCGGATGAACTTTCTGTTGTCCGGGTGACCCATATTCACGTGGAGCTTAAACAGCAGACGCTTCTCTTCCTCGCTTGGTTCCGCCTCTTCCGCCGAGGCCTCGGCGCCGGCTTCCGCTGGGCGAGTCTCCTGCTCGCCCCCGCTCTCGCCTGAGACTTCCTCGTCAAGGGGCCCCCCGCGGTCCCCACCGCCAACCTCCTACTCCTCCGGGAAATCGCGCTCCGTGAGCTCGGCCCAGGAGCCCTTGCTGGGCCCCCGAACCCTGGCCCAGCGGTCGGCGATGGCCCGAGCGACAACCCGCACAAACTGAGGAGGGTACTTTCCCGCCTTGGTCGTGATGGAACCCCCTTCCAGCTCTGAATGTCGGCGCCCTCCCGCGCAGAGACGACCGTCGAGCCGCCGAGCGATGAGGGGGTGATTCGCGAGGATCCCAGTTGGCTTTTTGTTGAGACCCTCATCACTCACTTGAAGCCCAAACTGGCACATATCCGCCCTCACGCGTTTCACCCCGGGGAGGGAGGACACGCATTGGACGACGAAGGTTCCCCAGGAGGACGCGTACAGAGGGTGCTCGAACGCGAAATACTGGCCTTGGCTAACCTGGAACTCGGCGATCTCCATGCATAGGATAAGATCGCGGACCCCGGTCGCGATCAGCTGATGCAAATCGGCAGGATCCATTCGATTCTTGTTTAACCTGCTGATCGCTGAGAACGCTCGGCACTCTGAGCAGAGCTAGACGGTCTCCGGTTTGTCGGCCCGAAGCTGGGCCCACAGCTGTTTGACATCCCGCTTGTTGGAGGAATCCCAACCCTGGCGAAGATCCCAACTAGCTCGCCCCCCAAGCGGGGCCCCCGCTTTCTCGACCTCTGGGGCCATGCGCGGAGATGAAAAGATCTCCGCGAAGGCCACCCTCGAACGCCCGCGCGCGGGGAAGCTCTCGTCAGCCACCCGCTGCTCTCTCTCGCTCGATCCCGAGACACCTCCAAAAGCGGCCGCACACTCGGTGACGGCCTTCAGGGCTCTCGACCCACAAGCCACCTCGTGGTCGTCGCTGTATCGATCCCCGTCCAGCCAGTCACTGCTGACGTCCTCGGTGAAGGTGGTTCTCGGACGGGGCTGGGCCCGGGGCTCCTACTCGAATCGGGCAACCCCTCGGGGCCATGGGTGAAGAGAGGGAGAGGGAGGACCAGAGGAGGAGGAGGAGAGGCTTGAACCCCGGGAGGACCCTTTTACTGGTGCCCCCGAGGGGCCAGAAGCTGCACAGCACTGGGCAAAGCAGGCTGCTCGACCGAGCCTGAGACGGGCGCTGGTGCGAGACTCGCGGCCTACAACAGATGCTCCAGCATCTCCGGGGGCACTTCCCATCCAGGCGGGGCCTCCGCCTGGGGGCTGCCCTCGGGGATCGGGCTCAGGGACGTCGCCGGAGTCGTCGTGGTCGGCGGCGGGATGCTCAGCGTAGTCGTGGTCGCCGTCGTAGCTCCGGGTGGGCCCGATTGGCTTGGTGGCCCCCCGCTGCCGCTCCCGGCGCTGTTCGGCTCGTGCCACGGGTCGCCCTCCATCGACTCTTGTGGAGGCTGCTGCGCTGCCTGCTGTGCTGTCTGGTACTGGTAGGCCACGTAGTTGCGTAGGCCGCTCACGGCCGCGCCGATCTGCATGGTCATCTGCCCGAGCTGCGCGACTGAGCTCTCGATCGAGTTGATCTGGCTGGCCATCGTGTTCACGGTGGTCTGCACTTCGTCCATTACGGTGGCGAACCCCTCGAAGGCTGACAGGATGCCCCCCACCTGGAGAATCTGCTGGAATATATGCTGAAGCCCTTCTTCTACCTGGGTCGGAGTGGACTGCACATTCACCGCGATCGCCGTCATCTGGTCGAGCACCTTCTGTACTCGTCCGAGAGCGCGTACTCCTTCGGGAACTCCCTGCAGCTGCCATTGTAATCCCTGAAGTAACGACCCCAATGAGTTGACTGTATTGAGCGCGGCGGCCCCTGCTCGAAACTGAGGATCGTTTTGAAGCATGTCCACCATCCGCTGCGCTGACCCCGCTGCTGCCCGAGCGGCCTCCGTCGCCGTGAGCTGCGGAGGCCCTCCGTCTGGCCGAGCGCCCCGCGGTACCCACGCCAGCCGCTGCCCACAGAGCCCACACCTTGAGCCACTCCCATGGCGATTCCCGTAGCACCGCACACTCTCGATCGGGTGACTGCATGAAGGTGGAGGCCTTGGTGGGGGCTTGCTTGCCGCTGGGCCGGCGAGCGCCCCCTGGGACGGGCTGCCCCCGCCCGGGGACGCTGCCGCGGTGGGCCCTCCTGGGCCAAGGTGCTGCTGAGGAAGCGTGAAGGCGTTCCCGCTCGGGCCCGGCGGCCCTGGGAAGTGCCCCGGCTGCGCCCCCGGAGGAGAAGGCCCTGGAGGGACAGATGTCACCAGAGGGGCCTGACCAGGCCCCACCGGCGCAAACGCTAGCTGAGGAGGTGCTGGAGGCGAGCTTGCTGGGTTGGACGATACTGAGGGCTGAGTGCCGCTCTTTGCCATACCGTTGATGCCTGTCAGCGATGACCGAGGAACTCCCTGCGTCTGATGCTGAGGACCACTCATGCTTCCCGCTGGCCCCGTCCAGCCAGAGGCGTGCGCCGCCGCCGCCCACAAAGGAGGGTAGGCCGGCTGCTGGGATCCTGGCGTTGCCCCACTTGACGCGGGGGGCTCCTCCCCTGAGTTCAGCCCCGTGGAGTCCTGCTGCTGGTCCATCGGCAGGCTCGGCATCAGCTCCGCCGACGCCGCGTTGACGAACGTGCCCGGCATCTCCAGCGCCTCTGAGATGACCGACGATTCCAAGCTTACCTCGGACTCGGCGGACCGGCTGCGGGCGAGAAACTCCTCGGTTGCCTTCTTCGCTGGAGTATCTCCTTTCGTCTTCCCTGCTTGGACCTGGAGCATCGCCGCGATCACCATCAGGGCGATCGTCACCGTACGCATGACCAAGGTCGCTCTGAGAGGGCCTGGGCCAGTCTGGAGGTCGTGAAAGTTCTGAGAGGCTGGAAAGGCTTGAACCTGAAACAGCCACGGAGACGAGGATGGCGATGCTGAGTCTGAAAACGAAGACCCAACTCACTCTCCGACTCGTAGGTCTCCTCGTCGCCTTCGGCCTCACCTTAGCTTCTCGCGGGGATCCCGAGGCCCGGACCAACTCTGAGGCTGCTATCTTAGCCCGTGGCCAGAGGGCACTGGTAACCCTGTTCCGGAAGATCTCGAGCCTGGACCAGACCTGGCCCCCGAGCTTCCCGAGATATCCCCAGTGATAACCAACCCACAGCAGCCCCCCGCTGAAGACGAAGAGGAGAGGAAGGAGAAAGACCGTGCATCTCGAAATCACCCCCTCGTCTGACATGATCTGCGGGGCTTGATCGACTAGCTGAAACGAGTCGGCCCTCAGGAACGGGTACCTCTTCAGAGCAGGAGGCGTGACACTCACCTCTTCCTTGAGGCCGAATGATGTCGACTTGCCTGTGCCCGGAGCCGAGGCGGGCCATCTTCTCGGTCTCGCCTAGCGCATGCACTAGACAGAGAGGGAAAAGGATGACGCTGATCACTTTGGCTGCCCCGCCGACGCCGTGCGCTGCCTTGAGAGGCCTGCGCGACAGGGGGATCTCGACGTACTGGAGGCCCAGGCTGGCCAACGCCTGGGACTCTCGATTCAGGGACTGCACTCCGACCAGGTCGCTGCCCGCTCCGGGATCCACCAGAGCTTGAGTGGCCCCGGCCGTGATGAAGATGCTGCCCGTGGTGATCTCCTCGTCTGCTTCGCCCCAGGAGGCCTCGATCGCATCTGAGACGAAGATGCCCGAGGAGCCGCCCGGAGTGCTCGAATCCACGAAGCCGTCGAACATGTAGGCTGACACCTGCTGCCTGTCCGGCCTCCCGCCGCTGCTGGGACGGCCGGGGTTCGCTGCCCCCTGCACGTGGCCACCGTACTTGGGACACTCCTTGCCCCAGTGTCCCTTCTCATTGCATCTCTTGCATCGGGTCACCTTCATGAGCTGCTCTCGTGAAAGACGGCCTCGATGGTTGGGACGAGCCTCTCGACCCTGGCCACCACGATCACGTCGGCCGGCGGCGCCCCTCGGGCGACTGGCTCGACCCGCGGGAGGAGGAGGCACTCGTCCGTCAGATTTCTTCATGCCGTAGTACTCCCTATCCTTACGGGCGGCCCGTTTGATATCCTTGTTCTGCTTCCATGTGCGATTGTTGCTGGGCTTCTTCTCCAGGAAGGCCCAGATCTCGTCGTCGTTGTCGACCTGCACGTCCAGATCTTCGATCTCGGCGAGCAGCGCGACGATGTCATCCTCCGAGTCGTACGAGTCGTCGTCTCCGTCAGTCGAGCCGTCGTAGAAGTTGGCCTCATCCTGATCTCCGGCGGCACCGACACCGACCTCGAACCGACCAGGGGAGGAGGGGGGAGGCGAGGACTGAAAAGCGAGAGTCGGGTCGCCCGCGGGACCCCGGTCATCAGAGCTCGTCGCCAGCATGGCCCCTGGGCCGGTTCGCCCTGGGAGAAGGCGCTCCATCCCGGTGGCGTCCATCTGCCGGAGGGCCCACGCGACGTCGGCGAAGTCGAGCTTGCCGTGCGTGAGCGTACGTAGATTTTGCATGCCCTGGGCGCCTAGACCTGCGCCCTCCTCCAGCAGGAGTCCTTTGAGCTTCGGGCTCATCCACAGGTCGTGCCCCTCGGCGTCCTGCATCTGAGCTTCGCGCCGGGCGACGAGCTGCGTCAGGGACTCCTTAGACTCCCTCGCGGCCTCGAAGAAGGCCCGGCGACCTGCTCGACGAAGCTGGTCTCCTTCGCGCTCTCCCGCCATCATGTCCATCCTGCCGATGAGCACGTCGAGCCACTCCGGGGACACGAGCGCGTCCTCGCTCACATCCTCGAACTTCGCCTGGAAGTTGTAGTCGAAAAGCTTCATGAACTTTTCAGCACGACGCCATAGCTGAACATCCGCATTTTTCTCTTCCATCGTCTCATCGCAATCTTCCATTGCCTATAGTTGGTCCAGCCTGGCCAGTTGGGAGGGTCGCTGAAGTCCCCTCTCCCACCACCCCAACTACCAGGCCCGCTCCACGTATCCTTCCAGCTGTCCCAGGCGCCGGAGCTCCAAGCGTCTCGCCCAGAGCCGCTCCAGCCGCCATTGTCCCAGCTGCCGTCCTTGTTATCCCACCAGCTCTTGTCCTTGTCGTCTCCGTCTGCACCTGCGCCCCCGGTGGGAGCACTCTCCTTACTCCAAGGATCTCTGGCGGGGTCCTTCCAAGGATCTCGATCTTCCGTCGTTTCTTGCCGCTGAGCTCCAGATCCCATAGTTTCGGAAACTATGCCCCTGATCATCTCCTTGAGCTCGTCGGCCCCCATACTAATCACTGGTCCCGGCTGTTGTCCGCCTCCTGGGGCGGCTCCCGCCGGTGACTCCTGCCTGACTGCGTACACCTCTGCATCCTTCCCGTCGTCGGGCATTCCGCTTGCCGTGGATCACACGCTGCTAGCTGGATGCGAGCGCAGCCGCTGGGCGAGCGCACGCGAGCCGGCAGAACACGCTCTCACTGAGCGCGCCCCTGCCCACCCATGGCGCCCCGCCCGAGGACCGCGCTCCGCTACCAACTGTGGCAGACGGAGTCAAGCAAACTTTTTTGCCTTGAGCCAATGGGCACGGTTCACAAACTCTGCTGACAACATGTGCTGAACCTATCATCGGAAAATCTGGAGCTCTGCAACACTCCTCATCCTCCTCCTCCTCCTCCTCCTCCTCCTCCTCCTCTTCTTCCTCCTCGTATTTCATGGCCACAAGGGGATTATCCGCAGGCTGCATATAAATTCACGAACACAAGAGAACTCACCCGCCGCAAAAGTCCTGGCCGTACTCCCCGAACTTGCGCGCGTCGAGGTACGGGTCCACGGGACAGAAAAATCTCTCTAGGTCAGGATCGGGGGGGGAGGTGGAGGGTCACATCAGACATGTCAGCAACGCAGACATGCTTCTGATGGCATTGCAATGCAAAGTGCCTGACTAGGAATGTGCAAAATTCCTCAGGGTACTATTTGGCCTGCTGAGTATTCCAGGGACCGACTGTCATTCCCTCGAGCACCTTGTGACCCAATGGATGGCAGCAACGCCCTCTGCGCGGAATCTGTAGCAGTTCACGGCCGAGGCTGGGCAGATTGATCGTCAGAAGCTGCATTGGCTTCGTCGATTGCGAGCTAAATGAGCATTGATCAAGATAAACGTTTTGGACGCAAGAAAGATGTCGGGCTCCCTTGGGAAACCATGAGCTCGGAGCCTCTGAGTTTGACGGGCACGCTGGATGTTGCAACACACCACTCACACCCGTGGCAAGACACACATACATGAAATAGAGAGCTGCTCGATACAGATCATTAGCTGTAGCAATCTGGCGCCATTCTCTGGAGGTGGCGAGCGCTCGTCCCCATAAGTACTGCAAAGAACGGAGCGGCCTGGATGTCGGGCCTTCGGGGGCATCCACACATCGAGCAGCAGACCATGTCACGCAAGGGGGGTCCAACTACAGCCCCTCGAGCACGGCCCTGGAAAGAACAAAAAAGAACTTAAAGTTGTTCTCGTGCTGCGGCCGACATTAGGTCGCCGTTCACAGGGACATGTACTGCAACTGTAGACAGCACAGCAACTGGGCCAGTTTCTAGGCCCATCTTCTGATTTCCCGAAAACGCTCAAAAGCGTGCTGAAAATCGCCGGGCCTACGCTGCCCGCTAAACAGGCGTAGTATATATCCAGTCTCGCTGGGCTCAACGCCGCGTGGGCTAGCTGTATAAGCCCCGTCAGATCTTGTTAGTGGAAGGCAAACTGTTATGTAACACCAGGGCAGAGGAGGGGAGAGGAAAGAGAGACCCAACCCCATCGGCGGCTAGCTGCATCCTTTCCCTGGGGATGGTTCCGACAGGAACCTCGGCCTCAGTCGCACGAAATTCCCGAACCTTGAGCGCAACAGCAAGGTTACTGTCCTCCACACGAAGAGCCTCATAGCGCTCATCGGACATACTGCTCCTTCAACTGTCTGAGAGTCTCGAGGCACCCAGTGCCCGCAGCCCTCAAGTGCCGGAGAAGTCTCGGCCTGTTCCTGAAGTCCTCACAGCATACCCGACAAATCGAGCCTTGAGCCAGGCTTCCCACAACGTCACTGCGCCTCTCCTCCTTTTCCTCCTCCTCCTTCTCCACTCCTTTTCCCTGTGAAGAACTCCTCCCTGTCTCACCCCGAGGCCAATCGAAAGAGATGCCTGGGCGTCTCGTCTGAGACTTCTCTACCATTTGTGATCCTGAAGCTTAAGAAGCGACAGCAGGTTCACAGATTGAGGGCGGGTGGTTTTCAACATGTGGCTCTCGCCTTCGCGCCGCGCACACTCGTGCTACAAATCGCAAGCGCTTCACGGATGGAGGGCAGGTCGCTTTCAAAAAGTAGTTCCCGCCTTGGCACCGCGCATATTCCTCTTAAGAAAAATCCACAGGCTTCCTGGTTGATGGCGCCTCCTTTTCAAAATGTGACTCTCGCCTCAGCGCCGCGCACATTGGCTTCAAACATCTGCAAGAGTTTCACTGGTTCTCGTGGCCAACGTACCAGGATATGGTGTTGTGGCACCAGGACTCAAGACTGCCATGTTGCAACATTTACGCTGGCTCGCGGAATTGAAATCCCAGGAATGATGTTCTGGCATGATTCTGGATCGTCAAGACGCAACAATCAGGTTGACCCGTGGCTATACTCTTGCGGGTGCTGTTTTGGCACGCTTCAGGATATTCAAACGGCTGTCCTCCAACCGGGTACTTGGCTCGGAAGAGATGAATTCCTGTAGGGACATATGAAGAAGGAGATTGGACGGAGGGTTTATGCCAACATCGTTGATGATTCTTGGGTTTGCACTGGTCCTCCTCCGCCTCCTCCTCCTCCTCCCCCTCCGCCCTTTTACTCCTCCTCTTCCTCCTCCTCCTCCTCCTCCTCCTCCTCCTCCTCCTCCTTCCTCCTCCTCCTCCTCCTCCTCCTCCTCCTCCTCCTCCTCCTCCTCCTCCTCCTTCCTCTTTTTTTTCCTCCTCGTCCTCCTCCTCCTCCTCCACCCTTTTCTTCCTCCTCCTCCTTCCTCTTCCTCCGTTTCCTCCTCCTCCTCTTCCTCCTCCTCCTCCTCCTCATCATCATCATCATCATCACCACCACCACCACCATCACCATCATCATCCTCAACAACATCGTCATCATCATCATCATCATCTCATCATCATCAGCATCAGCATCAGCATCATCAGCATCATCATCAGCAGCAGCAGCAGCATCATCATCATCATCATCATCATCATCATCATCATCATCATCATCATCATCATCATCATCATCATCATCATCATCATCATCATCATCATCATCATCATCATCATCATCATCATCATCATCATCATCATCATCATCCGCAGCGTCGTCCTCATCCTGATCCTCGTCCTCATCATCCTCATCCTTATCCTCCTTCTGCGGGATCGTCCCGGGGGGGCGCGCCCCACGTCGCCCTTTTCCAGCTTGGCGCAGTAGAAGCCGCCCCCGAGCTTCACCAACACGCCGCCTTTCTTCGCGGCTCCTGCGGAGGGGGCAGCGGGCAGAGAAGGGGGGAGGGGGCAGGGAGAGGAGGGAGGGACGGGGGGAGGGAAGGAGAGAGAAGGGGAGGGAGGGAGGCAAGCTAGGTGACTTCGCGTCATATCTGACGTCATACCCCTTCCTCCCATCCCTTACCATGGCGTAGATATGCTCTCCTTTCGCACAGTCGGATGTCGAGCTGGGCAATGATCGCGAGAGGGTACGCGATGCATGGTCGAGCACGGCATGGCATGGCGTAGAAGAGCACGGCAGAGCGTAGCATGCCCTAGCATGGCGTGGCATCGCGCACAAAGCATTGCAACGCAAAGCATGGCATCGCACAGCGGCGCTGAACACAACACCGCGCAGCATATCATGGCATGGCGCCGGGTTCCTTCGAAGGTAAGTGGAAGGTAAGTGGGCCGGTCGGGAGTCGTGGCTCCATGTCTAGCTCCTTGGGCTCCCCAAAAAGCTCCACACAAGGCGGGGTTGATGGAAAGCACCCGTTGGCCCTGCTTTCAACATCGCCTTCTCAAAGCCGAAACGGGGCTCCCGCTTGATACTTCCTGGAAACGACAACGGCCCAAAATGGAAGGGGTTACTGCGGCCCCAAAAATCAACAAATCGACACCGAATGTGTCATCGCTTCCGATGGTTTTTTGGGGAGGCATGTTCTAGATGTTGGGTCCTATGTGGAAGGACCGAAAACGCCCGCGCTGCAGCAGGAGCACGACTTGGAACAACCAGAAGCGCAGAAATGGGACCAGCGTTTCAGCGGGAACAACATCTTGAAAATAACCAAAACGGGGAGGGGCTGGATATCTTCTGGACGTCATCAGGGGAGAGAGGAGAACAGTATAACAGCATTCGTATTGTGCAATTGTGAGAGAGGGAGGGAGGGGAAGGGAGGGAGGGAAGGGAGTGGGATGAGACCCACTCGGGCGACGGGGTGGGGACCCACTCGGGTGCCCCTGGGCCTCTACAAGGGAGGAGGGGAGGGACGGAGGGAGAGAACAGGGCAGGAAGAGGGAAGGGAGGAAAGGAGGGGGCACGAGAGGGAGGAACGGAGGGGGGGGAGGAAGGGACGGGGGGGGAGGTAGGGAGGGAGGGGAAGGGAGGGACGGGGAGGGAGGCAGGGAGGAGCCACGGCCACGGCCCTTGATGACGCGACGACCAGCCCCCGTCTGCCCTCTGCCCCTTGTTTGCCCCTCGTTGGCCGCATTTGCCCGTTCTTTCCCCCTCCCCCCCTCCTTCTCCGCCCGAAGGAGGACGGAGGAGGAGGAAGAGGAGGAGGAAGAGGAGGAGGAAGAGGAGGAGGAGGAGGAAAGACAGAGGATGGGGGGCGGCGGGTGGAGGGAGGAGGAAAAGAGAGAAGAGGGAAGAAGGAAGGAGCCAGGAGGGGGGGAGGATGAGGAGTAGGAGGAAGAGGAGAAGGAAGGGTATGATGAGGCGGCCTGCGTCTTCCAGGCCCTGGCACACAGGCCCGCGGCACGGACCTACGCCGCGCCGCATTTTCGAACCGCACTCCGACGAGGCGACGAGGAAGGCACAGGGGCGACCCGCGCCAGGAAAACTAAAACGGCCCAACGGCCCGAGATGAGTCCAGCCGCCGCGACGCGACGAGGGGAAAGCCAGAAAACCGAGGCGCCCAGCAGTGGCGACGAAGCAGGGCCAATGCCCGACACAGCCGCCACCGACTCGCCGAGCCTCTCAGCTCAGCAAGTGGGCGTACTTCTTGAGAGCGCTCGCCTTCACAAAGTCGGCCTTGCCGAAGATCCCACGATTCCCGGCCTTGGTCGCCTTCTTCTGGCGGGCCTCGATCATCACGACGCCCGGGATGACGAACTTCCGATGCACTTCGCCTCTGGCGGGTCATGTTTGCGAGAATGTTCAAGGTCTCGATCATCACAACACTCGGGATGACGAACCTACCGACGTACTTCGCCATTGACGTTGCAATGCTCGCGACAGTGCTCAAGACCTCCTAAACTTCTCCTTCATGTTATATTTTCCATGGCTCCTGCGGGCTGCGCCCCCCCCCCTCCCCCACGCGCGCCCCCAAATGGCTCCACTTAAGCCAAACTTGCTACGGAGGAGGAGGAGGAGGAGGAGGAGGAGGAGGTGGAAGAGGAGGAGGAGGAGGAGGAGGAGGAGGAGGAGGAGGAGGAGGAGGAAGAGGGGGAGGAGGAGGAGGAGGAGGAGAAGGAGGAGGAGGAGGAGGAGGAGGAGCCGGAAACTGGGGACGCAGTGTCCCTCCGACGGCCGCCGCCACCCCGGCGCGCCAGCGGTGAGTGCTGGGCCGAGGCACCGCCGAAAGGCGGGGGGGGAAAAGGAGAACCCCGAACCCAGCGAACCAAGAGGAGGAAGAACAGCGCCACCGCCGCGAGCACCAGGAGCTCGCCGTGCGCCGCCAGCACTCCCCAGGGGACTGACGGTCCAGCTGCTCTTGCAAACACGCCCTGTGAACGGCGCTCCGGCCGCCTTCGCCAGGGACCATCTTGTCGCGGTGCTGGATGCTGTCGTGGCACAGCTCGCACGCGACGCCGCCCCTCGGTGCGCTCCGAAGGTGGAGGTCCGAGGACAAGAAGATAGGGCACTGTCCAGCGTGCAGCGAGTCGAGGATGTCCTTCGCACGCCTCCCCGACTCGATCGCGAGATTGGCCAGGCGCAGCTGCACCACGGAGAGCGACTCAAGGTTCTCCGTGCCCTCGGCGTACAAGTCCTCCTCGATGCGCTTCCCCACCCCTGAACTCAAGTCGGGGTCGAACATTGCAGTAGAAGCGACAGCATCAGAGCCAGCATGGGCCTCCGTCCGACCCATTTGCTCTGGAGTCACAGAAATAGAATCAGCACGCGAATGGGCCAACACCTGACCCGATGGTGCTGGACTGAACTGCTCCTGCGGCAACGCCATAGGCTCCGGCACGGGCTGCTCCCGCAACTCCTTGGAGCCATCGGCCACGACCTGCTCCTGCGGCAACTGCCCGAAGACTTCCCCGAGCCCCGCGGCGAGATCCGAAGGAACGATCACAGTGTCGTCCAGAAGCCCTGCCGACCGTCCCACGGTGGCCTGAACGGGGAAGTCGCCGTCGTACTCGTCGCACTCACAGTGCATGTGGGGGGCACAAAAGGCTCGGCAGCGGCGGATAGGACCCCTGGCGTCTCCATCTCCTGCTTGATCCGAACCTCGAGCCGTGGCCCGTGCTGGGCCTTGCGCAATGCGGCAGCACCCGCAATGGAGACGTCAATGTCGCTGGCATCGGCGTGCATGGCGACAGTCCGCCGCAGCACCTCCAGCCATGTGGGCGCGCGGCCCTCCAGCTTGGCCTGCAGCACAGGCAACACCGCCCGCAGGCGCTGGGCCACCTCGCTGCACCCTGCGACCGCGTCAAGCGCCTCCTCCACCACGGACACAAGCCCGCGGAGGCGCCGTACCTCCTGCGAGAGCTTCAGGACCGCTCGGTCCGCAGAAAGCCCGCGCCCACTCTCTTGCTGCCTTGCGTAGGGGGAGGAGAGGAGGGGGAGGCGGGAGGAGGAAGGAGGGAAGAGAGAAGAGGGAACAGGGAAGAGGGTAGGAGGGGGAGGAGGAGGAGGAGGAGGGAGGAGGAGGAGGAGGAGGAGGAGGAGGAGGGGAGGGAGGAGGAGGAGGAGGAGGAGGAGAAAGGGAGGAGAAGGAGGAGGAGGAGGAAAAGGAAAAGAAAAACAGCAACGACGACGACGACGACGACGACGACGACGACCACGAGGACGCCAGAGTGCCCCGTGGCCCAGGCTCCCCACATCGTGTTGAGCTCGTCGGCGTCGATCCCAAACTTCTCGCACGCGTCCTTCGCGTTGAGCGCCTTCCCGTCCTTCAGCACGTCCTCCCACTCGAGGCCTGAGCGCGGCGCCGCCCGCTCTCCGGCTGCAGGGCCCACGCGGCGGCCCCGCACGGCCACCGGCATCGAGCACGCTCTCCAGCGCGCCAGCGGGGAGGGCGCCAGGAGACGTCCGCTCCTCGCGAACGTCTCAGGCGAAAACAGGAAGCAGGCGAAGACATGAAGCAGGAGGGCGGCCAGAGCAGACTGGGCTCGGGCCCTCCCCGAGGGTGGCAGAACACAGCCAGAGCACATCGGGTCTTGAAGCAGGAAGGCGCTTGAAGCAGATTGGGACCTGGAAACTCCAAAAACACCTACTTCCAACGACAGGCGTGTACTTAGAAAGGCGACTCGCGGAAGGGTTTGCTCGCCCCCACGGCGCCTAATAGTGCGCCCAATCGCGCGCAAAGCGAATATACTGCATCTCTCGCGTGGCGCTGTTGGGCACTGGTGGTCGCTATTTGGCGCCATGTGCGCAATCGGAGAGACCTTACGGTCGGTGCCGCCGACCCTTAACGACGACGACGACGACGACGACGACGACGACGACGACGACGACGACGACGACGACGACGATGCTGACGTGGGTCAGAGTCCTCAGGGATGCTTCGTGGGGTCTCGTCGGAGCGCTCTTGGGTGCCCCTTGGCGGTAATTTTGGGTCCTCGTGGGAGCCTCTTGGGGGCCTGTTGAGAGGCTCCTGGGGGCCTCTCGGGGCTTCCCGGGCGCATCTTGGGGGTTTCTTAGGGGCGTCTTGGGGGCTTCTTAGCGCTTCCTGGGAGCCTCTCAGGCTGAGGGCTCGAAATGTCCCTTCGGGCCCCCCGTCTGGGTACTCTCTTGGAGCCTCCTTGGGAGCCTCTTGGGCCCTCTAGGAAGCCTCTTGGGCCGTCCTGGGGCCTCTTGGGTCGTTTTGGGGCCCTCTCGGAGGCCTCTTGGGCGATCTTGGGGCGATCTTGGGGGCCTCTTGGGCCGTCTTGGAGTGTCGGGAAGCCCAAATGGCGAGAATCCCAAAATCGATCAGAAACTTTAAGAAAATCTACCATTTTTGCATCATGGGGCCCTCTTGGGAGTGCTCTTGGAGGCCTCTTAGGGCGTCTTGAAAACCTCTTGGGCCGTCTGGAGGCTACTTTGGCGTCTTGGACCGATAGTTCGGCGACCCTCTGGGACCGTCTTGGGGGCCTCTTGGGGCAGTCTTGGTTCGTCTTGGGGGGTTTTGGACTTTGGCACCCCCCCCCTCGGGTCTCCCCCGGGACCCCCCACCCGGGACCTCTCCCCCCCCCGGCGGGGATGGGATCAAGGGAAGGGGCTTCCTGTCGAATGAGTTACAACGTTTGTTACTGTTGCTTTGGCGAGCACGCGTGAGGAGAAAGCCCCGGGAAAGAGAGGCAACGGCTGCCGCGTTGGAGAAGCAGACCCAGGAGAAAGCTTGGAATGGCGACGGCGACGGCGACGACGACGACGACGACGACGACGAGACGACGAACGAAACAGCAACGAATGAAAGAGCTTCTTCCACACGCCGACAGGGTCGGCAATGTTTGCGCTACTGGGCGCTACTCGACGCTATTCGGCACTAATGGGCGCGATTCGCCGATGTAAATTCAATCCAAGACAAACGAAAGCTTCCGTTAATTATCATCTGATATACCTCCTTTTCGCCAAGGGCCTAACGACTTCTGCTGTCCCTCGACTTGCATCGGAATGCCCATGAGTTGCTCAAGCTGTCACTGGAGCTCTCGGGATATAACCTCAATATATCTGAACTTGCTTCGACATATCTGGAATTACCCCGCTCTGCCCCGCATGATCCCCACAGGTCGGCGGGAGAGAAGCCGTCGAGCCCCGGGGTTCTCTCTGGCCTAAGCCCTGGCCGGCAGGACGCGAAGGCTGCCGAATGCTCGCCCGTGCCTTCCACTCGGGGACGTCCGGGGAAGAGGGGGCGCCCAAGAGGCGGCTTCGCAAGTCGTGGCCCGAGGCCTGTCCATCAACCCCCGTTGGCCAACCCCGATCCACAGAATGCCGCGCCCTGGGCGGGTGCTGACGACTCAGCTTCACGCCGCGTCGTTGTCGCTCGCCTCCTTGAGTTTGCTGATGAACTCGTTCCCTCGAGCGACCGCGGCGTGGAGAGCTGCCGGCACGTGGCGGCCCTCGCCTCGGATCTCGCGCGGTGGCCACCGGGGTGCCGTCGCTCAGAGCTAGGGAGGCCCCCGGAGCACACTGCGCGCCCACACGCTGCGCTGTTGCCATCACACCTCTCCCTGGCGGCGCGCGCGGAGGGGGTCAGAGGGGAGGGGGGAAGGCTTCTTAGAGGGAGGCTGCTCCTCAGAAGGCGCGGGCCCTGTCCACAGATGTGGGGCTGGTGCCTTCTGAGCAGCAGCCTCCGTCTAAGAAGCCTTCCCCACTCCCTCTGCGCGTGGCCGGTTTCCAGTCCGGGGCAGAGGTGCCAGGGTTCATGCCCAGACATGCCCGTGTCGCGAAAAAATCGCGATGGGAGGTCTTTAGCCGATTGCGGCCTCCAGGGCCATCGGGAGACCGCCAAAAAAAGGCCCGGTCGAAAAACTGGCCCTGGGGCAAGGGTCGGCTACCTTAAGTCCATAGGAATCCTTCTTTGCCCACCTTGACCGGGCTATCCGCGCACTATCCGAGACCACCCGCGGCTTTTTCCGAGGCTATCCGAGGCCATTCCGAGGCTGTCCGAGGCTGTCCGAGGCTCTTCCGAGGCCATCCGAGGCCAGTCCGAGGCCCTTCAGAGGCCATCCGAAGCCATCCCAAGCTGTCCGAGGCCAGTCCGAGGCCAGTCCGAGGCCATTCCGAGGCCCTCCGCGGCCATTCCGAGGCTCTCCGCGGCCATTCCGAGGCTCTCCGAGGCCGCCTGGGCACGAAAGAATGCAGCAAGAGCCAGGGCGGGGACAGAGGATGCGCCACGCAGATACTACCTGAGGTCGGAGCTGCCGTGGACCCCACATGTATTGAAATAACCCAGACAACGCATCTCTGCAGAATCACCGATTTGGCGGCGAGCACAAGGGGGTAGGGGGAGGGGGGGAGGCTTTTTAGAAGGAGGCTGCTTCTGAGAAGACACAAGACCTACCTCTGTCGGTAAGACCCGCGCCTTCTAAGAAGCAGGGGTGCTTCTAAGAAGCCTTCCCCATCCCCCTAACCCCCTCTGCGCGTGGCCGAACCCATGCCGCTCACGAGCGCTCCGCGCCGGTTCGACCAGAGCCGCACCTGCCTCAAACGGGCTCCTGGACTCGCCCGGGCATCTTCACCCTTTCAGCTGTTCGAGCAAGCCTTGGTCAAGAAGAGGGGAGACCTCAGACGGCAAACCGCTCGAACTCCGAAAGGCTCGAAGAAGGAGACCTCCCAGCTGTCCGACTCCAGTCTGGCCAGGGAAAAGAAGAAGAAGAAGCGGGCCGTCGCCCGCCAAGAGCTCGCAAAGGCCAGCGCCCAGACAGGCGGGCGATCCCAGTGGGCCGCCACCTCCAGTCCCGCCTCCTCCTGTCCCAATGCTCTGGCCGAAGCGTGGCAAAAAGGAAAGAGGATGCCAGGCAGGAACTCGTGCTTAGCCTGTCGCGCTGGCCGCCCCAGCGACTCGCCATGCCGTGCGGGCTGATGGCGTGTCGCTCCGCTCCGCGGGGCGGAAGGCCAGGACAGGCTCGGGACGTTGACGCCCACGGACCAGGACGTGGTTAGCGTGTCGCGCCGAAGGGCCAGAACCGGCAGCGCGACATGCTAAACCAAAGGTCCTGCACCTCAGTGGGTCGGCACGGCAGCATTCCTCGACAGGGCTTGCTTGAAGCCTATTTCGGGAAACGCCTCCGGGACCTTCAGACGCGCGCCCTCAAGCCAGAGGAATTCGCCTGAGTTCGGCGCAGGCGCGGAGTCTCGAAACACCTTAAACGTCACGGAGGGCGCATCGGCGCCGCGGCCCGGTCTCCTCCGCCTTCTGGTTCCTCCCTGCTCCCTCCCCCGCTCCTCTCCCCCTCCCCGCTGCTGCTTTTCAGGGGTACGCCTTGTCGCTGGCACCTGGGTGGAGTGGCGCCCCCCACTCGGGTGCCGAGAAAACCTCCCGGATGGGCACGCCCCTTCCTCTGTGTGGAGTGTGCCGAGCGGCCGCGATACGCCTAGTGGACACGCACCTCAAAGCCAGGGTGCGTGAAGGGGCTGCGGATTCCGCTGGAGGATGAGGGGGAGGAGGAGGAGGAGGAGGAGGAGGAGGAGGAGGAGGAGGAGGAGGAGGAGGAGGAGGAGAAGGAGAGGAGGAGGAGGAGGAGGAGGAGGAGGAGGAGGAGGGAAATCTTTACTTTATCGAGCGCTGCGCTCCGAACAGTTCTTTTTCGGATCGTTGCCACCAAGAGGCGACGGCTCAAGCAAGCCAACGTTTGCCGAACGTAAAAAGGAGGGGGGGAGTGAGGGAGGAAGGGAGGGAGGGAGAGCGGAGAAGCAGGGAGGGCGGCGGAGAGGCTGGGGAGCAGGGCGAGGAGGATGCTCAGATGCTCGTCGGACGCTCGGGGTGCAGCTCCAGAGAGCCGGAGTGTGGCGCGCACAGCGCCGGCGGCGGGCCACTGCGCGCGAGCCACTGTACGAGGGGGCCTGCGAGGCTGGGCCGCATGTCTGCCGCGAGGGCGAGGAGGGGGGAGCGAGGAGGGGGGCGGGACGAGGAGGGAGCGGAGCGCGTTCCCTTGTCGATGCCTTCGCCGCGTCCCGGACGCCCCCTGAGCCCGAGGCCGAACTGGGCCTTGAACTTGTCGCCTGGGACCGACAGCTTGTCTGGGGTCAGAAGGGTCGCCTTGGAGGCGGGTGGGGGGCAGGCGCGGGGTTGGCGCCGCCCGCAGCGGCGGGATCCCGAGGCAGCTCCCGCAGGCGTCCTGGCGGGTGAGCGGTTGACCCAAAACGGTCTGCCCTTGTCAGGGCTCCCCCTCACGGGCCAGCGCTTGGCCCAGACGGTCCGGTTTTGACGTGTCTCCTCGTCGGGAGATGGAGGGCTCGCCCTGGACCTGTCCCACTCCGGTTCCTCCAGCTCCTCCCCCTCCTCCTCCTTCTCCTCATCCTCCTCCTCCTCCTCCTCCTCCTCCTCCTCCTCCTCCTCCTCCTCCTCCTCCTCCTCCTCCTCCTCCTCCTCTTCATCCTCCTCCTCCTCCGCCTCCTCCACCGCCTCCTCCTCCTCCTCGTATTCCTCCACCTCCTCCCACACCCTCTCTCCCTCCTCCTCATCGTCGGCCCACTTCCTCATAAGCCTCCTCTTCTTCCTCCTCCCCCCCTCCACTTCCTCCTCTTCCTCCGCCGCTGCCGGGCACCCCCTGCTGCTGCGACCCCAAGAGATAGCATCCCGAAAAAAATACACGTCGCAGAACCTCTTCCCCCTCCTCATCCTCCTCATCCTCGTCCTCCACCTTCTCCTCCTCCTCGTCATTATAATCATCGCAGCCATCATAATAATCGGTATAATCATCGTCATTATTATCATCATCAGCTGCATCATCATCATCATCATCATCATCATCATCATCATCATCATCATCATCATCATCAGCATCATCATCATCATCATCATCATCATCATCATCATCATCATCATCATCAGCATCAGCATCAGCATCAGCATCATCATCATCATCGTCATCGTCATCGTCATCATCACCATCACCACCATCATCATCATCATCAACAACACCATCATAATCATCAGCAGCAGCAAAAGCATCAGTATCAACATCAGCATCAGCACCACCACCACCACCACTGCCTTCTTTATTAGTGGCCGCGCGACGGCCCTGGGCTATGGAAGATATCTCACCAGACGGGAAAGTAGGGAGGCGGGCGACGGGCGAGGGAAGAGGCACGGCGCGCAAAGGAGAAACGCAGCAGGGGGGGGCGGCGGGCTGCGGGCGACGGGAAAGGGGGGGGGAGCGCAAGGGGATAGACACCAAAAAGACGGCGAAGTGACGGGGGCAGGACGACCGCAAGAAAAAGTAAAAGCATTGCGCGGCTCCTCTTCCCCCCGCCCACATCCCCCACCCCACTCCTCCTCCGCGCCTGCTCCGCCCCCATTCTCCTCTCGATGCTGTTCCTCCCCCCCCCCCGCCCCCGCAAGCGCACCTGACGCAAAATTCGACGCGCCAAGCAAGCAGTAGGACGCGGAGGTGTCTCAGTCCCTAGGATATACTTAAGCGTTGCCATACAAGCAGACGAAGGACCGTTTGGATGTACAGGCAAATGGTGGGCGGAAAGGCGGGGTCGCCCTCGTCGGCGAGAGGTTCAGCCTCGTGGTTTTCGCGGGCTTGCTTGGATTCTCGGAAAGCGCTTTCAAGGGCTTTTCTGGTGCTGCCAGGCCGTACTCGCTGCCTGCTTGGGGTCTGCAAGGGTCGTTCCTGGGGGGGAGGGCGCCGAATGCGTCTTTGACATCGTCTGGGGTTCGCCTCAATTGTAGGATTGTCCCAGGGCGCTTGTTGTCAGCCAAGATCTGAAGAGCGCTTGCAACGGGATTGCCCACTGCACTTCTGGAGGCTGACGAAGGCCTGCCTAGCCCTGGTAGCGGCGAGCACATATCTGCAAAGGCTCGCGCGTTCAAGGACACCTTGGCGCGGTGCGTCCGCGCATAGTTTGGGCAGTCACGAGTCGGCGCCCTGAAAGGCGCGCCGTTCAACGCGATATTCACACGCCGTTTAGCAAGCCTTGTAGCGCGCCGCTTAGCGCGCCGTTCAGCGCGCCGTTTAGCCCGCCGTTTAGCGCGTCGTTCAGCGCGCCGGTCAGCGCGCCATTTAACGCGCCATTCGACGCGCCGTTTAGCGCGCCTTTTATTGCGCCATGTAGCGCGCCTTTTAGCGCCCTTTTGTGCGGCCGCGGGCCGCGAGCTTGCGCGGGGTTCGTGCTCGGCTCGCGTGGCCCGCAGCGTTTCCACCCCAGTTCTGCCAGGGCCGGCGCCGAGCTTTCCCTCGGCTTGACTGGGCCCTCGACAGTCCTGCACCGGAGCTCTCGCCAGCCTGGCGCGAGGCCGACGTGGAAAGCCAGGTTGTCAATCACACCGCGATCTGCGCCGCTAAGCTCACATGCTGATCCATATGCGGATCTATATATAAAACAGGGCCAGGATCGGGACAAATCGCTCCAGAGCGTTCCAGAGCGCTCTCAGAGCGCTCCGGAACGCTCGGGAGCGGCCGCGGCGCCCAATACATCCTCCAAACCCGCCGATTCTCAGAGATTTCGAGCTATCCCGATCCGGTTTTGTCCCGGTCTTCGCGTCGTTTTGCTACAGCCCGCAGCGTCGCGCGGGGGCGGCGTCCGGGCGCCCGCCGAGGTGGCACGGCGCGGTCGCGGCTGCGCGTTCGGCAAAGGGGCGTTGGCGCGCCGCTCCGTCGGCGGTGGACAAGCCTCCCTTTGGTGGACCTCCCCTCAGTGACAAACGGCCTGGGACCGAAACCGACGGACCTGGACCCGCAAAAATGACGGCCGCGACGCCCTCTCGCGAACCGAAAACGGCCAATTCCTGAGTCGACGTGTCAGGGTAGGAGGTCTGTCCACCCCCGACTGAGCGCGCCATTGAGCGCGTCGTTTAGAGCGCCATTAAGTGCACCGTTATCGCGCCGTTAAGTGCGCCGTTCAGCGCGCCGTTCAGCGCGGCGCGTTCGGCGCCGCGTAGCGCGCCGCTGAGCGCACCGCTCAGCGCGCCGTCTTGCTCGCCGAGGCAGCCAACCTTTTCGTCTACGTATCGTGCTGACGGATCCAGGGTGAGTCGGGTGTGCGACGATGAGGAATCTCTCTCCTCTTTCGACTCGACTGTTCTGTCTGTTTCCTCGCCGGCCGCGGCCTTACCTGGAAGCCGGCGCTGGCTCCGAAAAGCAAGACTGCGGCCCCCGCGGCGAAGCCTGCGGCAAAGCCCGCTGCGAAGGCAAAGGATGTGGCTTCTTTGAGCTCGACGCCTAAGGCTCGCCACTGGGTCTCGGGCGTCGGATGGGGGGAAGGAAAAGATGACGGAGCCCAGGGGGGACGGACAAGGAAGGAAGGAGAAGCGTGAAAGGAGGAGAGGAGGACTTCGGAACGAGTTTTGCGGGTTCTCTTTGAGACGGCCCAAAGAAGTTACTCAAGATCCTATTGCACTTTGTTGCGATCGGCACCAGGAGAAGGAGAAACTGTGAAACCAACTAGAGTACGCCCACGCGTTGCTGAGTCGCACCATCTGCGCTGCAAATTTCCGACGTCTGCGCTCGGCCTGGAGGAGGGGTGCTCCGCCCCATATTCGAGGTAGCGCTCCAAGAGCAGACCGATGAGATGCACTCTGCACAGGAAATTCTTGAGGTGCTGGCGCAGACTAGCCAGCTGACTGATCTCGACGGGAAGGCTGCTATGTGCGTGCTGCCCCCTTCTGAGCAGCATTGGGTGCGTTCGCTCTCCCGCTGGGCTCTTAATACGCGAGGAGCCCAGGCGGCGTGGCGGTGAGGGTGTAGAGGGGAATGCGCAGAGAACCACGGGTAGGAGATGAGGAAACTGGCGACCTAACCAAAACAAATCGGGTCTGAAGGAGTCGAGCAAGGAAAAAAAGAATCGCACGAGGGAACAAGAGAAGCACGAACACCTGAACAAACGGGCGAAACTGGCATCTTCAGCAACTCCTCGTAGACTCTTGCGAATTATCCGACACGCGCGTCACCTTGCTCATGCCACACGACACACTACATAAAAACGCGGGCAGAAACCTCAAAGTGCAAAAAAATCATTCACCCAAAATCCGTTCAAAAAGCCAGAACTAATGATGATGTAGATTTCCCGCCGTGACCCGTAGCGCATCAGTACCGGAATCGACCACGCGCTCGCCTTCGGGCGCGTGGCCGGCAAGCTGAAGAACATGCCTCCCGACATCCAGGATGCGAGAGATCATCCAAGCAAATGTTCGGACCCCGCAATTCCAAGCAATCGTGTACTGGGCCCCCCTCTTCAAAGACATCCCTCCTCATTCCTCCTCCTCCTCCTCCTCCTCCTCCTCCTCCTCCTCCTCCTCCTCCTCCTCCTCCTCCGCCTCCTCCTGCTCCGCCTCCCCCTCCTCCTCCTCCTCCTCCTCCTCCTCCGCCTCCTCCTCCTCCTCCTCCTCCTCCTCCTCCTCCTCCTCCCTCCTCCTCCTCCTCCTCCTCCTCCTCCTCCTCCTCCTCCTCCTCTCCTCCTCCTCCTCCTCTCCTCCTCCTCCTCCTCCTCCTCCTCCCCCTCCTCCTCCTCCTCCTCACTTCCTCCTCCTCCTCCTCCCTCTCTCCTCCTCCTCCCCTCCTCCTCCTCCTCCTCCTCCTCCTCCTCCTCCTCCGCCTCCTCCCCTCCTCCTCAACTAACTACTCCTCCTCCTCCTCCCTCTCATCCGCCTCCTCCTCCTCCTCCTCCTCCTCCTCCTCCTCCTCCTCCCTCCTCCCTCCTCCTCCCTCGCTCCTCCTCCTCCTCCTCCTCCTCCTCCTCCTCCATACTCTCTCCGCTCCTCCTCCTCCATCCTCCTCCTCCTCCTCCTCCTCCTCCTCCTCCTCCGCCTCCTCCTCTCCTACTCTCCTCCTCCTCCTCCTCCTACTCCCCCCCCCCCCCCTCCTCCTCCTCCTCCTACTCCTCCTCCTCCTCTTCCTCTCCTCCGCCTCCTCACCCCCCTCCTCCTCCTCCTCCTCCTCCTCCTCATCACTCCTCCTCCTCCTCCCTCCTCCTTCTCCTCCTCCTCCTCCTCCTCCTCCTCCTCCTCCACCTCCCTCTCCAGACTGTGGAAACTCTTTGTGGGGGGCCATCCGACGCTCAAGAGTGCATTTGTTTGTTGGTCCCTCGACGGTGTGTCCTCCTTCACGGATGCCGACGCATTGCTACTTGCGGGAGCGGCGGGAGCGGCATCACCAGCGACGGCGACATGACGCACCGTAGACCAAACCATGGCCGTGCATCGACTCTGGTTCTCTTTCAAAATTTCGCCGGACACCCCAAGCCAAGTGGCACGACAGATCCGAAGGGCTTGCTGTACAGGTGTCGAACCACGCGCACAGGAGAAGCGGATTGACCACAATGGCCACAGGTGCCCGTGTGCTGAGAAGCAAGGCCAGGGGATTCTACTGGAGCGCGTTTTTTTAGCGTAACGCTGGGCACCAGCGGGGCCTGCGATTGTCTACCAATCCCGGCCGTTCTGGACCGTTCCCAGACCCCGCGGGCGCAACACTAGACGTCACCGGGCCCCTCCCTACCCCCCTCCCAGGTGACGCTCGTCACGGCGGGAAGATGAAAAACGGGCTGCTGACAGTCCAGGGAGGGACAGGGAAGCGATGGGGCGGACAAGGTGCAGCCCCGGGCGGAGAAGCGGCGCCTTGGAGGCGATCGCGTAGTAGTGCTTGTCGATGAGCTGCTTCTTGTCGATGTCGCCGGCACCGATCGAGCCCTCCTGCGAGGGCAGCGGCGGGTGGCCCCTGGCGTGTGCCTGCCACCACGCCTCCCGTGCCTGCCGAAAGGTCCCCGTCAACAGCTCCCAGGTCACGAGGAGGGGGTAACTCCGTCTTCCCAGCGGGCCCGCTCTGCACGATCACCCAGACCTCTGAAAAATTACTCCAACAAAGCACCCTAATAGCAGCACAAATGAAGAGAGGCCATGCGCAAAGGTGAGAGCACGGCCACGTGCACCTTAGCGTACTTGTTTAAAGAGATCGTGGCCGTCTGGACCAAAAATATAGCCTGCGTTGAAACAAAAGGACGACTCCTGAATGAAAAGTGAGGCAGTCTCAGGCGAAACGGCTGCTGGACCAGACGGTCTAGGGCTCCACCTCCCCACTGTGGGACTCTTCTGTGGTCCTCTTTTGCCACCAATAGAGAGCCCTCCACTTAGCGAAACCCCACGAGGAAAAAAAACACGATGTAAAATGTCTGCCCATCTTCGGCCTCTCTGGGCCTTCACCCGACCCCAGGACCGTCAAAAAAACGAGGCGGGATGAGAGACAGGTCCCACACCTCGGGAGGTCCACGCTGCGAAAAAAACACTACGTCGGAGGCCTGGGAGGATGTGCAGCCGAATTGACCAATACGACTGGACACACTCGCCCGGGCAAACGTGTGCACGCGTGCGTGAGCGTGCAGCCGTGCGCTTGCATGCCAGCCGGCACGCGTGATCATACTGCGCGCGCCGCTCTCAAGCCGCTCCTCACGCGCTCGCCGTTCACTGTCGTTCGTCCTCCGTGCTTTCCCTCACCTCCCTGCCCTGACCACCCCGTCATCGTCCGCACCGACCTCTCGCCTTCCGTCCACTATGGTGAAAAACTGTTGCTTGGCGTGTCGGGACGGCGGCCCCTGCGACACGCTCTGCCCTGCAAGCGGATAACGTGTCGCTCCGCTCCGCGGGGCGGGAGGCTGGGAAATCTCTGGACGTTGACGCTTGGGGACCGCGACGTGGTTAGCGTGTCGCGCCGAAGCATGGTGCGCCAGAGTGCGCCAGAACCGGCGGAGGCGACACGCTGACCAAAAGTTCCCGACCGTATTCCTTGGTCCCCCCTCCACTCCGTCCCTCATCCCACTCCCCGTCCATCCGATGCAATTTTCGCCCCATGTTCTTGGCAGTGCGTCTCAACTGCCCTGCACTCCATGACCGAACGCTCCGAAGAGGCGCCCGCATCCCGCTTCTCCGAATGTACGGCCTCTGCTCTCCCGCCGCGACATGCGTTGTGGTAACTACCACGAGAGCCCGTCGCACTGCTACTCATCCTCCTCCTCCTACTCCTCCTTATCATCATCATCATCATCATCATCATCATCATCATCATCATCATCATCATCATCATCATCATCATCATCATCATCATCATCATCAACAACATCATTATCATCATCATCATCATCATCATCATCATCATCATCATCATCATCATCATCATCATCATCATCATCATCATCATCATCATCATCATCATCATCATCACTATCACATCATCAACATCATCATCATCATCATCATCAACATCATCATCATCATCATCAACAACAACATCATTATCATCATCATCATCATCATCATCATCATCAGACTCAAAATCCTCATCATAATCAGAATCCTCATCATCATTATTCCTCATCAGCAGCATCATCCTCAGAATCATCAGCATCATCATCAGCGTCATCAGCATCAAGCTCATCATCACAATAAACATCACCACCATAATCATCAGCATTATCATCATCGTCAGCATCATCATCATCATCATCATCATCAGCATCATCATCACCACCATCATCATCATCATTATCAGCATCATCATCAGCAGCAGCAGCATCATCACCATCATCATCATCATCATCATCATCATCATCATCATCATCATCATCATTATCATCATCATCATCATCATCATCATCATCATCATCATCATCATCATCATCATCATCATCATCATCTTCCCCCATCTCCATCCAACTCTGTCCACTGATCCTCCTCGCACATGCGTGCAAACTAAGAGCGCCGTGGACGTCGCTTTGCGAGCAGGGTACGCTTGATGAAGAGGAAAATGAAAAGAATTAAGGAGAAGAAGAAGGCGGAGGACAACTCGTCTCTTATCATTTCGATGTTGCCTGCGCGCGATCTCGATGCGTTGGAACATGTGGCCGCACTTTTGTCACAACATGTTATGAGACAGTTGTTGGCTCGTTTGGTGACGACACGCTGGGATGCAAGCGGGGCGGTAGCTTTGCGACATTATTCCAAACACCTTGAAACGTTCAGGTAAGCACCAAACTACACATTGTATTCAAAAAGACGCACGCGAACCTAGCAGACTGGCAGATTGCAACTGAGAAAGTTGGGGATGGAAAGAATATACAGCATCGTCCTTGCATGTCGTCTTCATCTCACATCTGCCTGCACGCGGATTGCTACAACCTTCGCGCGCGATTCGCGCGTTCGCGTTCTATTATTGCCTCCATGCCCGGGTCCTATGCACGCATGTTGGCACCACGGGGCGAGGTGCAATGAGCAATGCGCACGAGCACGGTGCAGGTCTGGGGACCGAGAATTGGTGACGAATCGGGTCCGGCGCTGGGTCTCTGCGTGGGTGTCTGTACGTGTGTAAGGTATGTATCGACGTGGCCAAAGTCATACAGGAGTGCGTTGTGGTATTGATGTACGCGTGAGCGCAGAATGAGAATAATGTGCGCGAAAGGTATATACATCGGATACGTGCAAGGAGAAAGTCCAAAACGCTCAAGGACACGAGCGGTGGTGTTGGTATGGCTACGGGTCTAGATCCGAAATGTCAGGAAGGAGGAAATAGAAAGAAGGAGTGAGAAGGGAGGAGGGAGGAGAAGAGCTCCTCCCCCACTCTGTCTTCCTCCTCCTCCTCATCATCCTCACCTTTCTCGCCCTCCTCCTTATCCTCCTCCTCCTCCTCCTCCTCTTCCTCCTCTTCCTCCTCCTCCTCGTCGCGCCACCTCACGTGTCGGTAGGACGGGCCAGGCGTTCCGACTGAGACTTCCTCGCCGCTGGCGATCCTAAAGCCTGCCCTCTGCACCAGCCACAAGGACGGTGAGCGTTTTCTTACTCGGCGCCCCGACATTGGGCGGAAGGGGGGGGGAGGGGGGGAGGTCTGGCTCCAGACCTCCGCTCAGCGCGACTGCTTGCAGCAGTGCGTCCGTCCTAAGGGGGGGCGGGGGCTTCCGCCTGCTCGAGGCAGGCGCCAAAAACGGCCAAGGTCCACTCCAGGGGAGGGGGGGAAGGGGGGGTGCGAAGGCCCGCGCCGATCGGCAAGACAACGAATTCGCCGGCCCAACGGGCCAGAGGCGTGCTAAGATCTCCGGTAACTTGTTAACAATATTTCTAGTTCGCGCGCGCGGAGCGGCCCCTGGGGGCCCCCGGACGAAAAGTACCCCGGCAAGGTCCCGAGAGAAGCCCGGGAGAAGCCACCAGACCACTCCAGGGGAGGGTATTTTTCGACACCCCTCACGAGGATCGTGGCCTCCGAGGGGGGAGCCGCAATCGACTACCCCCAAGAGCCCCCCAAGAGGCCCTGGGGGCCTCCAAAACGCCGCCAAGGAGCCCCAAGAGACTCCCAAGAGGTCCCCAAGAGGCCCCCAAGAGGCCCTAAAGAGGGCTCCAGGGCCGGCGGCATGAGCGAAGCGATTAAATAAGAAGACGACGACATGGAGGTCAGTTCCGTTTCGTCGTGCGGCTCTCGCCTCGGCGGCCTGACACGTTCGCCCTACAAGCTTCCTATGCCAAGCTCCCAGCAGCTACGAGTCTCGAAACATCCGCCAACCCCTGCCTGCTGGCAGCGAGAAGGCGTGTGAGATATTTGGCTGTCCACCTCCCCGTTTCCCCCTCCCTCCCCAGGATGTCCAAAATCACGTCTAAGGAGGGGGGGCGGGGGGCGCATAGCGCCTCCTGGGCATTCAGAGTCTCCAACGGCACTCTCGGACTCCTCCGACATGCCCAAGAGCGCCACAAAGAGCCTCTCAAAGAGAGCCCCAGGAAGGGCCCAGATTCGCTCCAAGGCAGCCACAAAGGCTCCCAAGAGCGCTCCCAGAGCGCTCCCAGAGTGCTCAAGAAGCGAACTTTCGGGTTCCCAGCTGGAGACACTAGCTTAGAACCACCCCTGTTTGGATCGATGGCCTCCATGACGGCTCCAAGAGGGCCTCCACGGCGCTCCAAGAGGGCAAACAACAAAAACCAAGAGGGGCCCAAAAGACTACAAACGGGCCCAAAGAGACCCCAAATATGATTCCAAGAGGTTTCCAGAGGTCTCTAAGTCCCACCAGCCCTCTGGGCGCAGGTGGTTTAATGAGTTTTGTCTTCTCTCTGCCAAAACCCCTCCTTTCCCTGTTCGGGGGAGGGGTTTATCACTATTCCCTACTGAAATGCACTTCGCAGCCAACCAGGAACAATGCCGACCCAGCTGCCCGTCCAAAGAGAACCGCTGAATATGATGAGGCTCGGGTGTTACTTGTGTGTTGGGAGGGCGGGTGGAAGTGAGCTAGACGGCTTGCTATCTAGGAGGGTGTCTTGATCATTTTCCCTATTAATATACGCCCCTTCCCCCAGGCGACCGGGAGCCAACCCAGGTCCATGCGCCCCCCCCCCCCCACACCATCCCTTTGCAAAAAACATTCAAAACACACACAAACACACACTTTGCCCCCACCATCCCTTGTATTTTATAATAAAAAAAAAAAACAAAAAAAAAAAAAAAAAAAAAAAAAAAAAAAAAAAAAAAAAAAAAAAAAAAAACGGCAAAGCGACCTAACAGCGATGTGTAGAAGCATATCTGAAAGCATTCCCCTTAAGATTCAGATGAAAATCCAGTTGTCGAATTCTGCTGTTCTCGCAGTCGTAGTCGCATTCGCGATGACAGTCGCAGCGGCAACGGCAGTCGCAGTCACAGCCTCAGCCTCAGCCTGCCTCCTCCTCCTCCTCC